AGTGAAGGTAGGCTGGGCGTTACTGTCTTGCCTACACGCTGCCTGCCACAGCCCGCAGAGGCTCCCAGCAGGAGCCCCCAGGCGCTGACACCCCTGCCCAGGGCCTAGCCTGCCTCCTCGCAGCCACCGGCGTTTTAACCGCCACGTCGGCTGGATCGGATCGGAGCAAGATCAGATGACATGGTGGTTGGGACGTCAGCGGCTGGGCCATGCTAGTGTTCCCCACTGTTGTCACTGCTGATAACAACTGCTGTGTCTGCAAGAGCCCAGGTGGGAGGCTAGAAGAAAATTACCAAGGTCGTCGAGCTTGTCGCCCATATCAAAGCTGCTTTTTTTCCTGATACAGTGTCATGGTTGTGAGCCAGGCAGTCTGTGACCAGTAGATTGGATTGATGTTTGTTATGATGACATGATGTGATCTGACACTTCATGTGCTGAGACTTGCTGTCTCTTTCCTCCAGGTCACTGGGAAGGATCCTTGTATTTATATATGCCTGTGCTGAACTGATCTAATGAAAATAATACTTGTATTTTTTTCCTTTAGGGTTTACTGCTTATTTACAGTGATGGATGATGTTGCTATTAAAGTATTATGTGGATACTAATTTATTGCTGTAGGGATGCACTTCTGGCCTCATAGAGACACAATGTTCTGACTGTGCAGCAGCCCTGAAGTGTGCAATGTTCGGATCTGTACTGTTCTGTTCTTTCTGCCTTCCCCACCCCCCACCTGAGTTCTGTAATTGTTTCTTCTTTCTTGTGATACTTATACATTGATTATGCTTCTTTCACACTGGCGCCTAGAAGAATTTCTGCAGCCTTTTGTCCCAACACTGCCTTTGGCATTTTCTTCCTTTTCTAGTCTGCCTTCTCTGTTCCTCCATTCTTAATGCTTTTGGTCTGCTCTGTTTGAGCTTCTCTTTCATATTTTCTCCTTGGCTGTTTTTTCTTTTCATCCTTTTGTACTGTTCAAGACACTGCATCTTGCCCTGCCATGTCCCCGTTGCTCTCTATTTTGAGATTTACTTGGGGCCCGTGTTTCCGATCTTTCCTCCTCCTAATGTTCTTTTTCGTGATGCTCCGGGTAGAGTATTTGGTTAACGGATATATCCTGTGTGTTCTAACCTACTGAATGTATTTGGTTTACCACGGTTGTTCCGACTAGTTCTTATGGCATTACCAAATGTCTTTGTCTTTACATAACTTTAAGATTTCCTCACCTGCAATTTTTGACAAATGGTGATGGACTCCGACAAGAATTACACTGATGTGCATACATCACTATCAGGCAAACCTTCAAACCCCAACTGTTGCTGTTGTTGCTTCTGCCCTCATTGACTGACAGGCAAGAACCAGAATGTCTTGGGAAGGAGTCAAGTCACAAGTCATAATGAATCCCAATTTACCAAGAACAGCAGCAAAACACTACAAATGAGGAAACAGACTGATCAGAACAGAAGAGGCACTGGTCTAAACATGATTCTGTGGCCACCCCACAGCTCTTTGACAGGTTGTATGAACAACAGGTAAAATGGTGGCAATCTGGGAAATCGTCTTGAGAAGCCTCCCTTTTTTGTGACCGCATGCATCTCGTATCTCATACCAGCAGTATTGACAGTGACTTTCATCATTTGACTCATCATGGCGTGCCTGATGTGTTCTATTGTATTCAAAGAAAATGAGTTCTTTTTCACCTTAAATAGCAGTAACTGTTGTTTAGTTGTGGTAAGTAATGTCTTGGGAATGCCTGATGCCCACTCTGTTCTTCTCCAGGACAGTGGAGAAACCAAGACCATCTTTAAAGACTAAATGGTTTTACTCTTGATTCAGTCAATGCTTACAAGGGGGTTAGGGAGTTTAGTTAGGCCTGTGTAGATCCCAGAGAGGTAACCAGTAAAGCACTGTGGAATAACTTTTTTCTTTTTTTTCTTTTTTAAATTTGTTTTATGTGATGACCCTATGACAATGGCTAAGTACTTCTGCAGAGTGACATCACTTTTTGAAATGTATCTCTGGGTGCTCAGAAGCTCAGAAAATTGGGTCATTCACACACTTCTGTATCTTGAAAGCTGGCGAAGTTTTGCACTAGGGCTTTCCTTCAGAAGGTTCTTTGTGTTCTCGGAGGCTGTGCTGAAATTGTCGGTGTTCTGGGAAACAGAACTGAAAGGTGAGGTTAAAACCTTTAGCCTAAAGGTAATGTTACTATTTAGGCTTTCTAAATAAGTTTTCTGATTTGGTATTTTGCTAATACAACTGCGTGACAATGCTGATTAACAGAAATAAATAGATCTTAAAAAAAAAAAGTGATTCTAGATATCCTGTACCCTTTATTGAAAGTAAGTAGTGTAGAGAGGCAGACAGTTCTCTGAAATACATCTAGACCTGAATTCTGACATCATCTTTGGCATTTTGTTAATCCAATTCACTTACAGATATCTGACAGCAAGCCATGGCAGCCACAGTAAACTATGCATCTTGCTGTGAACTGTTCTTTGTTGACTACTGTGAAATGTGGTCTGTTTTCTTTGCAAATATGCCTGGCTTTATACTCTTTTTTTTTTTTTTTTTTTTTTTCCCCCCCCCAGCAAGAGAAAGTAGCGTCACAAAATACATTTATGAAGTAATTCTTTTCTTAATCTACCCTAATCTAGATTAGTTTTTATAGGGGTCTTCATGACAGTAAAAAAACCCGACCAAACAAAAAGTGTCTATCTTTAAATAATCTGGTAAACTGACCTGCAAATCTGGGACTGAAACTGAGGTAGTGGGCAGAAAGAATGAGGTGTGGGACGAGGAGAGCAAAACAGGTTTTGGTCTTGGACTGCTAAAATAAACTTCTGTAACCTGGAGTGGAACACATCATGACCAAATGTTACTACCCTGGTGGTTTTTGGGGGTGTGTAGGAAGCTAGTTACGGCTGGTCTCACAGAGACAGGGACAGCCTACTGCAGAGCACTGTTCATATGCCACGGGCCTATGTGGTGATCTGAAAGGCTCCGATCTTGCTCCTAGCTATATTGAGGCAATCTGAGTCCACGGGACAGAACTTCTGTTTTCACTTCTTTGGGGGGAAGAAAAGTAGTGCTTGATTTTAATTATCCATTAACGTCACCTTAAAATAAATTTGTGAAGTAAAACACTTAAAAGTGAGGAAATACAATTAAAGTTGCTTCTGCATCGTTAGTTTATTACTTTTGCATATGCATTATGACAGTGTCCCTAATTGCGTTTTTACTCCCTGTTTTCCCATAGATTTCAGCCCTATCCAGTCCTATGATGGGCTTTCTCCCTGTGATGAAGCAGGGTAATATCGTGAGGGGAGACTTTTGTCTGTAGAAGCTTCACTTGCTGCAGAAATTGGGAGGGTATGGTCAGTACAGCAGGAAGCGGGAGGAAGGATGATCATGATGAGGGTGCTGGAAGACTGGGTTTCTTGTCATGCAATTCAAGCAAACAGCGTTCTTTGATTATTTGAGTGTTCCTCATTTTACGGATAACTGACTTGAAATTGTCAAACCTCGTTTGTTGTGTGACTGAACACTCACAGATGCTCTTGTTTACTGGACGTGAAAGTCCAGTACATACTGCTATCTATTCTGGCAAAATGGCTCTCAGTATCTCAAGCTGAGCCTCCAACAGCAGTTGCAGACCCTTTGCTCTTGGTGTCTGTCCTTCAGCCTTTTTCTGTAATATGGATACAATGTCACCCCTTCTCATTCAACTTGTCAATGATATAGACAGAAATCAGAATGCTCATGAAATGTTCAGATACAGCAGCAGCGAGAGGCATAGGGATGTCTCTTGGGAAGTTAGTGCCCTTCTGTTCAGCGGAGGACTTAATGGTATTCATTCTTTAATAAATGCCATTTGACAATGAGAATGAAAGAAAGTATTGACTAATTGCTTGTTTGGGAAGCACGATTTATCTTCTGCACTGAAGGAGCCCCATAGGGGAACAAGGTATATCTTGGTGTAGTGAAAGACTGTCATAATCCATATGCCCAAGGGCTGAAGTCATTCAGAAGAATCTTCCCTTTTAACTGCCTATTACACAGTCTTGGTGCACTTTTAACATGATTAAGAGTTCCCAGCCAGCTCTGCTTTCACTGAGGCTGTGTCTGCACAGAGTGATGCTATGAACAACTGCTGAGCAGTGTAGCTGGAAGTGCAGTTGAGCTCGTGCAGCCCTCTGCCACAGCCAATGCCCTCTCTGTCTGAGCAGAGCAAAAAAAGAGTTGAGAATGTGCTCAGGTATCTCTGCATGAGACTGTCTTGTGCTACATAGGCAATGTAAGGCATTGCAGCTATGGTGGGTAATCACTTTTTCCCAATACTCAACAAGGATCTCTATTAGAAAATAAACCCACTATTATTTCTAAAACAAACAGAAAAATGGTTTCAGTAAAGGTGTAGAGCTCCTGCTGCTCTTTGAAATCCCCTCACCTGCTTGATCAGAGTTCCTAAGACACTTAAATAAACAGTACAGCTCTTTTCATATCTTTAGTTCATTGTATAAAGTAAATATATGGCCTAAAGTAAATCACATAAGCTCTCTCTGTCTTAGCTTATATCTCTGCTTTGGCTGTAAAAATATTTATCTGTCTCACATGAACCTCCTGTGATCCAATGACTCATTCATTATAAATGAATCTTGAGATCCTTAGAGACAGAGAAGGAGTGCAGGGTTGTGTTTTTTTTGTTGTTGTTGTTGTTTTTTTCTGTTTATTGGTGTTGTTTTTTTAATTTGCTAGCATTAAGTTGGTCTAATACAGATGCAAGCATTCATTCTGTGCCTTGCCCTTGGCATTCTTGTGCTGGAGTGTTCAATTTATTCAGTCAAAATAGAAGGAATGTAGAGACTTCTCTGGTTTTTACAGTTTAGTTCTTAAATAAAAAAATAATCAGAAATGGTAGGAACAGATGTGATTCTGTCAAAGTCTGCAAAAAAACTAAACTAAAGTTTTTGTGTTTGTTTTTTGTCTTTTATGTAGTTGCTTCTAAAATCCGTTACCTTCAGGAATACCACAACCGGGTTCTCCACAACATTTACCCTGTGCCCTCTGGAACTGACATTGCAAATACTCTGAAATACTTTTCTCAGACGTTATTGAGGTAAGTTTTAACTAACGCTCTTGAAGAAAAAAAGAGCTAGAGAATTGTAGGGGATATTGATTGACTTTGAATTGGTTGCAAGATTTAACGGGTCAATGCTCAGCCAAAAAGAGTCAGAGCATAATTTAAGAAAGGAGTGGTATGAATTAATCTCTTCAGTGGCTGTTGCCCAATTTGCCCAGTTGAGCTGCTTATTGAGTGGCTGATTCTAAAATAAACTTGGTTGATTACACATTTGCTCGGCCCTCCTAAGTCTTAGCTGAATGTGCAGACATGCTGAACTTGTGAAGAAAGGAGTTTGTGACCTGTAGAGTTTTAGATGTGGATCCTCATGACCTCCTTGACAGTCCTGGTGCCTCAGGATCCTACAGCAATGAGCCAGATGAGCAGAACTAGGTTCTTACTGTGCCATAGTTCAGCTGGCTGTCAGGTTTGGGTTCTGGTTCAGTCCCTTATAACAATACGAGTAGACACAAAAGTTTGTGTACAGATCTGGATTTGGATGGCAACAACAGGTTGGAATTGTGCTGACCTGGGGTTTTGATTTAGTCCAGTACTTAGTAGTAATACATAGTACTAAGTGCCATATGATTACAGAATACATTTTGATGATATGATATGAAAAATTGTGAGACTTAATTAGGAATGACAGACGTTCCACAGTCCTACCTAGTGGATTCATATTTTCAAATTGTTTTTAAAATGGCTTTTGACAGTGAAGAGGTGATCTTGTCTGCCCGGGTTTTGGCTGGCGCTAGTTTTCACATCCAGGAAAATGCAGTTAAAACTGCATTTCTATGCATAGCTTCCTGATTTATACATGGAAAGATTGTCCCTGCTGTCAGAAGCTAGTTTGGAAATAGAGCTGTTTGTTAGCCTTATTTCATGAGGAAGCATTACAAAATACAATTAACCCATATATTTGTACACATACCCCTAGGATGTATATAAGTTGAGAAGCAAGAATTTAAACTTGAGAGAATGACAGTAGTTCGTTCTAACATTCATTTAAAGCAGGTGGGATGTATCAAAATTCTTGACCTTGTTTATAAGAAGGAAAGATACATAGACAGAAATAGTCATGATCAGTGGAACACCTGTTCACTGCAGACTTAAAAACCTGTTTTGAAAATTTCAAGAGTAGAATTGTTTAACCACTGTGAAATTTGTTTCCCTCATCAGTTAGAGTGTTGAAGAAACTTATGGGAACCAGTAGGGCTTTTTTTAAGATTAATAAATTAAATTTTGTCTCATTATATTGCAGCAGTGGGGAAAAAAAGGTTCAAAGAGTCACTGAAAATACGTCTGAAATGTGGCTCTGTTCCCACATCAGGCTGTTCTGATGGATTATTTGCGCAACACACACACTTAAATCACATTTAATTAAGGTTCTGTATGACGAAACAGCCTCTGCTTAAATGCTGTAGGCCTTTAAGCTGTTAAAGTGAGAAAGTTGAACTTGGTTCTGAATTACCAAGTGCTATAATGAGATCCGTTTCTTTTTGGGCAGAAGTCCATTGGGACAGGATGGATTTAGAGTCTACTGCTTAAAGAAAGTGTCTTTATACCACCCTGTTGTCTTCATCTTTCTAAGCAGTACAGCTGCCATGTCCTGTGTGACAAATTCTTCATACTCCATGAGCAGTGATGTTTCTGGGCTTACTGAAAAAGCTTTATACTTACCAAATATGAGAGCAGATAAGAAAGCGAGGCAGCAATTGCACAGTTGAGCAACACCATTTCTTTATTTCATGTTCAGAATGGGACTGAACCAAAATCCTCTTGTTGATAATGCTGAACTGCATGGGGCAGAAGTGATGCTCATATCTGATACACAGGTCTACACAAATGGCTTTGTCCTTCATCTGCTGGGATCTGATCAGCCTCAAGAGCTAAAAGGGCACCACAAATTGAAGCCAGAACTTGTATCTAAGTTTAAGTGGACTGAGCTCTGATACTCAGCAAGATCGAATCCACATTCTGAATTCCCATAACTGGGGAATTTGAGCTGTGGGTCAAAGCCTGAGTGCTATGGTTGAACCAGTGTAAGTTTATACACTTGCTGATACTAAGAAAGAAGCTGGATAAAAAAGCAAAACAAAACACACCCTGTATTTAGTGTGGCAGATGGAAAGAAGGAAACTCCCACCCACTGTGTGCAGATCTCTGCAAGATTTACCCTAAAACTAAACAGACTGGTTAAGAACCTTTCTGAAGAGCGTGTTCAGAAATTTCTTTGAATATTTTGCATGCTGAGTCTTCTTTCTGCCTCCTACACTGAGACTCCATTGTGCATGATTTAACATCAATGGTAGAAGTACATGGTGGAGAATAATCTTTCTAGCTTGAGACAGAGCATATGCAATGAATTTGGGCTGCTAAGAGAATACTGATCAAACAGTAGCAAAAATGCCCATTGATTTCTGGAGATTTTGGATCTGGTCTTCAGAATAGTTCGTTTGTGATCATCTACTATTTTAGAATCACTTTAAAAAATATTTCCCAGTTTGATGTGTACTCTCTTTGCAGCTGAATTTTTTAGGATAAACATTTCTTGATGAACATATGTAGTCCAAGGAATAATGGAGGAATAGTGATTAGTCAGAGAAATTCCATATGATGATTGGGTTTTACAGGTGTAGCTTTTACAGTTTATTATACTTTTTCCCTTTCTATGTTATGGACACATTGACTGTGTTCTTTTCAGTGGGGCATGCCCACTGTTTTGGATCACATTCATATCTGGTGTCTATTCGGCTAGCTATAGTTGGATCGCACAAGGGATTAATTTGCTCCTTTGCTCTGTACATAGCCTCAATCAATCACAGGCTCAGGGGTGGGGGGAACAGATGTTGAATGGCTGAAAAAATTAAATTCCTTATTTCTATGAACAAACATCACATAAAATCACCGTACACAATGCATAGCACATTGGTTCATTTAGTTCTTCCTTAATTTTCTCTTTGGGCAAAAGCATTTCTTTACATTACAGCATGAATTTGTTTCATGCCCTGCTCATTTTCAGTGTTTTCTCCCTCATTTGAGGAACGATCTAAGACTTAATAAACATCTTGCAGAACAGCTCATTCTTTCATATTTTCTTGGAGAAAATTCTCCATATGTATTTCTAAGTAAAATGTTTTACATAATGAATAGTTATAAATGTCCAGTGGCTAATTAATAGTCAAGCTTCTTTTTCTGCCTTGGCGAGATGCAATTCTCTTGTAGGCATTTTAGGAAACCTTTCCTGGAAGGCAGTAATTTTGGGATAGATTTGCAGCAAAGATGTACCAATCTTGAAACAAGCCCTGGTAGCTTTGTCACTTGTCATGGAGCAAGTTCCGTATGGAGTTACGATCTGCAGACACTCCAAGTTCTCAGTACTTGAACAGAAACAGGAGCAAACTGCAATTATTGTATCTTGGTCTTAGGGGACTTCCTAGATTTTTAGTTTTGACTCTTCTGTTTATTGCTTTTAAAACACATGGGTCAGGCAAAAGCCTGGGTATGAAAGTTGGGTTTTTTTTTTTTCTAAATTTGGCCTGGTTGTAGCTGGAATTTAGATATGGTCTCATTGCTGTTCCTGAAGTGAACAGAAGGATGCCCCGACCAAGATACAACACGCTGTGCTTTGGCCTCTAATCCATAGATGGGCCGTAGCTCAGTGTTAAAAGGAAGGGAAGCCTATAGTGTAAGTTCTCCATCACTGCCTTACACTTTCCAAAGCAAGGATTAATTAATGGAGTAATATCCTTTCTGGAAATAAGCATGCTCGAAGTGATGTGTTGGCAAGTAAAGGGATGGGTAATTGGTATCATCTCTTGGTAGACAGGGAAGGAATAGAATTTAGTACCTTCATATCTTTAAACATGAGCTGCAAAGTATGGCAAATGAACATCAAGCAAATTAAAACGAATCACCACTCTGATCACTTGTTTTTAAAGTCATGCTAGATCTTAGGCGATTTTCTGATACGATTTCATAAACACTGTCATGACAGTCACCACGTTTCTTGTACTGGACATTGGGTAACAGAAATCAAAATAATCTGCCAAATATGTAAGGCACAATAAAAAAGGAAAAAAAGAAAAAGTCTGTAGTTTCTTAAAATAGACTATATCTGTCATCTCTGACTGCAAGTGTGATGTGATAGTAGCCACTTGGCATAGAACTGTACTTGTACAAGTGTTTTATATATATAGCAAATGAATGACACTTTCTCTTATAAGCACCTTAGCAAGAGTTTAGCTTACTTGTGTGAACTGTTGCATTGATTTGTGAGGTAAGATAGATCTGTGCTAAGGTGATTATATGATAGGGATTTCTGTACTGTTAAAGAGGACAGAGGTTTCCAGAAGCGCTCCCTCTTGACATAACTCTGCTCTTCATTAGTCATTGGAAATTTTAATGCCGCTGACTTGTCTTTTATAAGTTTGAACACTGACTTTGGGAACAGAGTTAAACCAACAGCAACTGCTTTTGGAAATCCCAACCACTGAGAGGTGCAAAACGTGCTTTAAAAAATAAAAGCATTGTGTGTGGTTTAATATATTTAAAAGGTGTATTATATTTTATAGGCACATATGAAGATTATGAACTAACCCTATAATTGCCTGATAACTAAAATATAACACTGCTTAAGTGACAATTTATTTATATTTAAAATAGTGGGTTTTTTTTAATAAATTAGATTAACATGTTTATAACCATGTTTACAACATTCTTAAAACAACATAACAAGCTGGTTGACGTATAGCCTCTATTTTGATTCCCACTAAATCCTTCTTATTTTTTGAAATTATCTCTCCTTTAGTTTATAGTGAGTTTTGTTGAATAATAACGTAAGTAACAGCAGTTAAAACAACATAACAAGCTGGTTGACGTATAGCCTCTATTTTGATTCCCACTAAATCCTTCTTATTTTTTGAAATTATCTCTCCTTTAGTTTATAGTGAGTTGTGTTGAATAAGAACGTAAGTAACAGCAGGAATGTATGGTAACATACTGTCTGATCTGCAGTTACATAATTGGTCTTGCTTGCTTAGCCCTTAGATTTTTGAAAGTAACTATTTACCCAAGGAGTGTTTGTATTCATAAAGTAAAATGTTTCCTCCCTAAACATGGGCAAAATTAAAAACACACATAAACAACCATTATCATTAGCTCACAAACATATGCTAAAGACCATCTACTATATATTATTTTATAACTTTTCCAAATGTAGTTTAGTTAACATTTTAGAAATATTATATTATTTCTAAATCCATGTGCCTGTTTAAACTTCATTATCTCAAATGATACTGAGTGAGTGGTCATGAAACAGTATCATAAAATACATACAGACATTATTTTAATGCAATAAACATGTGATTTTTAAGACTATCTTAACAAACACACATGTTTATTCTTTGCTAAAACATGTTTCTGCAAGTGCCACACCTATATTTTGCATGTTTTCAGTCAGTTGGTTCAAACGATTATAGGGGGGAAAAAATAAATTTCTCAAAATCCTCAAAATGTCAGAGCAAAATACCAGCCTATTTTGACACAGCTATTTTTCCATAGCAAACACTTTTAATTCTCAGAATTTTTCTTAACTGTGAAACATGGGTAGGGCACTGAAACATGCATTTTTATATTTTTGCTCCTTATGAACCAGATAACACATGAGATGCAATGAAGTTTTCCTAGATGACAATTTTTAATTCTCTTACCTTGAAGCATGAAAGTGAATGGTTGCTAGATTTGTAGACACACTGGTTTCGGTAGCGATTGCATCTTATGTGGGATGTATCTGGTGTTTTATTATTTGTTTTATAGTGTCATTTCAATGTAATGTGCTGTTCTTTGTGTCTTTGTTGTCTCTTTTTTTTCTTTGTCCCCCCAACAGCATTTTGTCCCGCACAGGGAAGAAGGAGAATCAAGATGCCTCCAATTTGACAGTGCCCATGACCATGTGTCTTTTTCCTGTGCCATTCCCACTCACCCCATCTCTAAGACCACAGGTCAGTTCCATCAACCCTACTGTTACTCGCTCCCTCCTTTACAGCGTCCTGCGAGATGCTCCATCTGAACGTGGCCAGCAAAGTCGTGATGCTCAGTTATCAGACTACCCATCTTTGGACTATCAAGGACTTTACGTGACACTGGTGACACTGCTGGATCTAGTTCCCTTGCTACAACATGGTCAACATGGTAAGCAGGCCCTTGAACCCTTCCAGTACGCTTAACGTCAGTGCTGTGAATCCATGAATGATGCATAAATGCATTAGAAGAGATGGGCCTAAACTGACCTGGATCTGGAATTCAAATCTCCTGGGATGCGTTTATATCCAAGTGTTTGGTTTGACTTTCTTAAATAAAAGATGTTTTTTTGCTAACTGGATTTGGGTTTGAATTCTGAGGTTGTCTGATTTTTAGTGATATGCTGGTGGTATGTAACTAAAATACAACAGTATGTAACAAAAACAATACAGATGGGTCTAAAAAAACCTGGATTTTGAATTTGAATCTGCTGGGATATTTTCAGACTGGTCTTTTTGGGGTGGCTCTTTAAAAAGGCACAAATTGCTTGCAAATGTATATCTGGCCTATAACGAATATGCAGATTGAGTGTTTTGGTGAAGGTCCATCTCTAAATAGGACATGGTACGCATTTAATTGAAGAAAAAAACATGGTAATGGTGATCTGAGATGGCTTTAAAATATTCCTGGGTAAAAAGATAGCAATATCTCTGTCCGACTTAGAGAAAAGCAGTTTGAATTAGTTAATCACAAGATTTTTTTGTGACTGTGTTGTATTTATATTGTTTTCCCTCAAGTTCTGCATATGTCTGGCTTATTAGTCTGTGGCTTTCCATAGTGGGATTCAGGAGCCCAGTGTTCTCCCTATGTTATATAAGCGAAATACTAATTTTCACCATGGTATGAGGGTGCATTACTTACATGGTTCAGTATAGGAAGATTGTTGCCAATCTGATACACTGCTGAAATTCTTTAGGAGGAAAGTTGTTTCTCTTAAATGCTGAATTCCTTTTGAGTTGGCAGCAGCATGTTTTGAATCAAAGACGACTGCACTAGGAAATGGTATTATCTTGCAAGAGGGGGGCTCCTAGCAAATTATAGAATCGCCAACTTAACTTCAATTTCTAGAAATGGTGGAGTTAATTATCAAAGCAATCTTTTTCTGAATAGATAACACGGTGATAATTAACAACCAATGGAGACCTGTAAAGAACAAATAACACTGAGCAAACATAATTTCCTTTTATGGCAGCACAATGGCTCTCCTGGCGGGGTTTTCCTGTCCTTAGTCAGGCTTTTGTTGCTGTGTCACTTGCCATCCTAATAGGCAATCTGGGACATATGGTCCCCACTTGAGTGAGGAAAACACTGCAGGAGTAATTACCAGTGGCTCTTGTCAGCTGGAAGGTTATACCAAGTGGGAATCTTACAGGAGTCTCTGCTGGGTCTAGTGTTATTAAATATTTTAATTTTTTTACTTGGCTGATAGAAATGAGAGAGCACTTTGATTTGCAGGGGTTATCAAGATGGCGAATAGCATGTCCTCTGTGTGAAAGATACCCAATTCAAAACAATCTTGGCAAATTGCATTCTGTTTTGAAACATCTTCAAAGGAGAAATGTAAAATACTACGTTTAAGCAGGAGAAATCAAAGGCAGAAATGAAATGGGGAAATACTAGCTTGAAAGCCGTACTGCAGAGATCTGGGTGTTACAGTAGATCAGAGGCAGACCATAAGTCACTAATGTATTAATGTTATTCTGGCAATATGTAAACAGGTGTTTGGTGTATGAGGCACCCAGAGCATTTTGTTTATCATTCAAATAGCCCTAGCAAGGCCTCAGCTGGAGATGGACAAATTTGAAAAATAATTTGAAATTTGAAAATCTGTCCATCTGGCTTCAAGAAAGACATGGACCATTTGGGAAGAGTCCAGGAAAAAGAAATAAGAATGATTTGAGATCTAGAAAATGTGAACAGTGAGGAAAAATGGAAAGAATTCGGTTTGTCTAGCTTAGAGAAAAATGGAAGGGAAAAATGATTATCATATACAAATATGTAAAGGTAGCTGCAAGGAGAAGTAAATTAAACCAAACTATTTGTGGTTACAGTTGATCAGGAAAAGGAGTTATAGGCTTAAACTGCAGCAATGGAAATTAAAAAAAAAAAAAAAAGACCTTTTTATGATAAAGATGGTTAAGCACTAGGATGAATTGCCGGGAGAAGGAGTGAACTGTCTTGCAGATGTTTAAGAACAGTTTAGATAAAAATCTGCCAAGTTCACTTGGTTGATTTGATTGACTAATGTTTGGGGCAAGGGGAGGTCACTTGCTATTTTCTATGGTTCTGTGTACAGTGAATTACATTTTGCAATACAACTTGTTGTTTATTTCTCCCTCAGCTTAGCATGTGACTAAAATAAACATACTTTTTTTATCAGAACAATCAATGTTGTTTGGGTAAGTACAACTGGTGCGCTAGGCGGTCCTGAGCTTTGGTCCAATCAGATTATAAAAAAACTCTCAATGCTTAGCTGGTAAATATGTATTGCAAGAGAGAAACACTCTCTAGCATTAAAGGTCTGGTTAGACCCTTGCGTAGAAGACTTGCCAGGAACACTGGAATGGAGTGCTAATTTTAATTCTTACTGTGGCTCATGATGTTTACAGCTACAGATCTCTGAGCACTTTACAGAGGCAGTTTTACATCATCCTAGTTGTACAGATGAGACTGAAAGCCTGTGTAACATACTTAAGGTTACAGAGTGAATAACAAAAGGAATTCCTCTCATGCAGGGGAAAGGCCTTATGATGTACTGGGATCATCATACAGGTTTAGACTTGGGGTTCATTGAGTGCTGTAACCTTTCTCGGAGGGCTATCGGCCCCAGCTCAATTCCTCATTTGAAAGAGGGTATAAAGATGCCACAGTGCCCAGATACACAATAACCTATCCCTCCCCTTGGATCTTACAATGTTGCATGTGTCTCAAGTATCCCTTCCAAACAGTTGTAGTTTAATTAATTAGAGTAAGTATGGAAATTCTTGATAAATATTCCTTTCCTTTTAAGCCTTGGCCATTTTTGGCCTTAATGGCTTCCCAGGAGAAGAAGATCCATAGTTTAATCACACGTTGTTTAAAAAATACAGTGATGCTTCCTGTAGTCTCTGTGTGGGGGGTACTTTGCAGCTCTCTTGAGGATAATTAAGATCAAAATCTCATTTTTCTATGGCTGATAAAGACTAGAATGCTTTTTGCAAAAGCAGGCCTTTCAGTACCTAAGTGCATATAAAATTCTGATAACATCTCTGCTTAAATGCAGGCCACTGTATGTTAATCACCGTATGATTAAAATCGCCATTGATTTTAATCAATGATTTTACTGACTGTAGTATTTGTATTCCCTCCAAACTCTTCTGAGTACTGTTGAGCAGCTGTTTCCCTCTGTTTTAGGAGAGGCTTAAAAATGACAGGTGAAGCCTCGTCTGTAGTGCTTAACTTCCCAAATTACTTTGAGGGGAATTTAAATGTAATTTTTTTAATAGTTTTGTAAACTAAAAAGTACATAATCATAATTATTTTTCCATTCTAATTATTCTGTATTTATTTCATTTTATTCAACAGATCTTGGGCAATCAATTTTTTACACTACTACATGCTTACTTCCTTTTCTCAGTGATGATATTTTGAGTACTTTACCCTATACAATGATTTCAACACTAGCTACCTTTCCTCCATTTCTGCACAAGGATATTATAGAGTATCTCAGCACATCTTTTCTACCTATGGCTATATGTAAGTAGAACTCATTCTAGTATTGTTATGTCTCAGAAAACATGGTGCACTGCTATAATAGTATCAGACTGTAGGAGTCAAAGTTTGATCTGTCATAGAATTGTGATGGGACATCAATCTACTGTATGTATATATGTAAAACAATTCCATGTGATTATATTTCAAAGGGAAATAATTCTATAATCTTTATTTATTTATTATGCTCTGTTACTGTGTGAATTCTTCCTTCATTCAAAGGGTTAAGTTTAGCTTCTTTAAGAAATACACTGTTTTCAGACTCTTAGAACTTTCAGTGCCAGCAGTGGGAGTTTTCAATACAGAATCAATGGACAAACTGCTCCTGAAACAAAAGATGCAATAGCAACATGCGTAACTTTTGCATCTGGACTAAATCTGGATGTACAAGAATGACTCTTCTCAATGTAATGATGTGATGAATTTCTGATTTTTCTCCCTCCCTCTCTTCTCGGCATTTTCTCTTTAAGTTCTGTACTAAATAGCTGTGCCTGTAATGTCTCCAATCCATAAGTGTTAAGACTGCGTCTGACAGTGCCTGCCCTTTTTTCTCTTTCTTTCTTTTTTCTTGATGGAATTTCAGTAGCAGTGAGAAATTTAACCATGTTCTGCAGATGGAAGCATTAGGATCAATATTAAAAGTCAGTTTTAACCAGCCAGCCTTTTACTGTGCGGGTAAACACTGGAACCATTTGCCAGAGAAACTGCAGATTCTCCATCCTAGCAGACGCTCAAAACACAACTGGACAAGGTCCTGAGTACCTGCTCTAGTTGGCCTTTCTTTGAACAGGGCGGTTGGACAAGACGATCTCCAGAGGTCCCTTCTAACATCAACCATCCCGTGATTCTGTGAGAATGTCTCCTTCTTATCTATATTCCAGACCTTTATGGAAAAACATGAACAACTTTGTACAGAGATCAACACGGATGTCATTTAAGCATGTAGAAGAGGATGTTAGAACATGCAAAGAAGCATGGTCCAGCATGTTGAGATTAAGATTTTATGAAAATTTATCAGCTACATTTTCTGGCTCTTCCAGTCAATGATCTTGGAGAAATCCCTTAACTCTTCTGTACCTCAGTTTCCCCATGTAAAATAGTCCCTTGTAAGACATTGCCATGATGTTACCTTTGACAGGTCTAACAACCATATGCAAATGAAAACCGCTAAGATATATTTCATACATATGTGCAATAGGTCCTCTTTGGGTTAAGACCAGAATGTTGCATTAAACTCCTTTTTCTTCCATCACTGTTACCTGTTAAAGAACAGCTGATTTAGGTGACTTATCCTTTCCTGTTTATCTTCAGATCTGTAAAACTGTTCTCCAAAACAACTAATTGAGCCAAACCCTTGGCTTACTTAAATAAATACTATTCCCCAACTGCCCTTGGCAGAGATTGCATCCATGTAGAGCATGGGAGCAACCTTTGTCATGCTGCCTTTTTCCTCAAACAGTTTTGGTTAGATCTCTCTATGAAACCAGTCTGCTGCTCTTGAATTTGACTTGTAGTACTGTGCCCTACTTTTCTGCTGATGGCCAGATTTTAATTGCCAGGTCAGAGCTGCTGAGCATTTTGCAATTTAAATCCATACAAACAAACCTTGCTGTAATAATTTGGGGGCTCTTACATGTGTGGATGAGATTCAAAAAAGAATGAATAGAATGAATGAAGTGCAATAAAAAGTCTTTCCCCACTGGGAATGATCTTACCCTTTACAAGATGAGTGCAGAACCTTTCCTTCCCCTAGTGTTCAGCTTTGAATCAAACCGAAAGGGAGGATGCAAGAGATTGTGTAAGCAGCTGGAGAGCCAGATGGGAGGGATGAAAGCATCTCACTGAACTGGTAGCTACAGTTCTTTGCTTCTGTCCCAAATGTTTGGTGTTTGGGTCCCAGCAGTCAGGCTTGGGAAGGCGCTGTGAGTGAGGATGGGGAAGATATATGCCACATCTCTGTGTAGGAGGTTGTCTTCAAAGCCATATTGCCATGTTATAGTTCAGCAAATAAACACCTACACTCTGCAGGGTTTTTCCAAGTATACCATTTAATAGTAACCACTTCGTAGGAGACCAGAAGGAACTCTAGCCACTTTATGTGCAAAGTCAAAGCTACAACAGCTTAGCTACACTTCAGTGCTACTGTTTATCATTATCTTAAGGGGACTGATTTTTCCGGTATGTAGCTATAACTTGAGCTCATACCATGTGCTTCCTGAGAAGTAATCTGTGCCGTACGCCAACAACCAGCAGCTACCACCAGCCCCAACCCTTCATCAGTATACCTCAACAGCAGGCTTTCCATTTTTTCTTGTTTTTTTTACCCTCCACTTCCTCCTTACCTTTTCCTACAATCCAAGCCCTAGGTGCACTTGACTATACAAGTGACATCATTGTTTTGACCAGTCTGGGGGTTCTGAAGTAGAGTGCCTGAGAAGATTGCTGTCTTTGGTTAATGCAGCTCTGAGAATGAAATCTTACTGATCTGGAAAACCAGGTGTGAGCTCTGTGAAGCAGTACCATATTCTTAGTCATCTTTCTCTTCCAGCAGAAAAGGGGTTTCACCCCCTCCAATACAGAATGTTTCTGTTTTTTTAGTTTTGTTTTTTTTTTAATGACATGGTACCTTAGGAATTTTTTTACATCAGCTGGAATCAGTTACATGCTATTCGTACCTAATTTTCCTTGTTATACAATAGAAAATGTTTTCTTTTTTTTTTTTTTCCTTTCTTTCAAGTGGGATCCTCAAAAAGAGAAGGTGTTCCAGCACATGTCAATCTATCTGCATCATCAATGCTAATGATTGCAATGCAGTACACGTCAAACCCGGGTATGTGTAAACATGCAACATGGTATCATTCTCTCTAAAACTAAGTACTGTGTCAAATGCAATCAGAAAAGTTCAGATGATGGGAAAAATCTGTCTCACCATCCAACACAGGATGAAAAATAAGTGATTTTAGTCAAAACTGGAATTTCTGAGCATCATGCTTGAAGTAATCATTATGTAGATAAGAGATCTCATTGTGATGAAGAAATAGGGTTTGGCCCAGGATTGGAGACTCTGATCTACTCTTGCTTGACATCAGAAAATAGAGTTGATGTACAACATCAGTGTTGGAGAGAAATCACCTCTAACTTTGACTATAGAAATTCATAGTAACAGTTTGTCTTATACTATGATTCACATCCCACCAAGTTGACAACTGATACTATTTTTTAAAGATGACAGGTAATGCTGGCTGAAGGCTCAACAGAAGTATAATGAATTTAAATGTAATTACAAGTATTTAAACACAAGGCCATTGTCTCTCACTGTGGGGCAGTCCCAGTTAAATCGGTGGGATCACATAACCAAATCAAAGCAAAATTTAACCTGATGGAGCTGTTACATTGCATGATAGTCAACTATCTCCCATTTTACGTAGATGGGTAAATGGTGTGTGTGTGGAGGAACCCCACTCTGCAGTATGTGCGTGAGAAGTGTCACATTATGCTAATGTAGTTCACAGCAGTAAATAAAAGCAGCACACCATTTTTAAAAGCTACTTGCACAAGTTAGATTTTCTTCATGAAATGTTCTGGTTTTGTTTGTGAATTCTATGTTCCAGCCATCTGAGGAAAATGTTGCCCTGTGGTTTTTGAGAAGTCAGACATATAAAGTCTGGCTTTATAAAGCGCTCATTTGGCTCTCGTGTTCGATGCCGAGTGGCTCCCATAGCCTTTGGTATATGCAAGAATAATGTATTGTTACATGTGACTTCCATTACTGCCTCAAGATGAATGATATGATACCCATTTACAGCTTTACATTGTGCCAGAGGGACAAAGTTTAAGTGAATTAGCAGGTATTCTTAAACTAGATGTGTTTGAAAAAGATCTCTGTTGCTGTGCAAAAAGCTGTACACTCATAATACTGATTATCTTACTGCATTCCTTGACAGAAACAAGTTACCAATATTTACGTTCTAACCTTTTGTGATGACTCTCAGGGCAATGATTCTTCAGCAAACCCTTTAAAATAAAAAGTAATTAAATGAGATACAGAGTTTTGGACAGACAAAGCAAAGCCAATCGGCTAATTACATCACTTCTGTAACTTGAGTTTCCATTTCAATATTATGTCGATACTGTCTTTTCTCTCTCAGTGTATCACTGCCAATTATTGGAATGCCTCATGAAATATAAGCAAGAAGTATGGAAAGTAAGTTTATGATCATATCTATTTTGTGGAAATAACTGTATTTGGATAGTAATGAAAACCAGATGGTTTGAAAATTGAACTGACTGTGTGCCAAGAAGTTATAAGTGATCTTTATATCCAATCCTCCTTCTGGATTATGGAGAGGAAGGTCCTTCTGATTTTTAGTTTACAGAAGCAGCTCCATGTTTTGTAGAACAGAGCTCCGTTTCCTAAATACTATGTGGTTGTGGCTCCATTTAACACAAATTTTAATAATGACCAATTTTCTCAGTTAATGTAGGACTGAACTTTCATGAGGACTATTTGTGAGTATTGTCTTAGCCTGAATCTGATCTGGATCCAGTTATTTATCTATATCACACCTCTGCTCCATGGCTAGACAGAGGCTTCATTTGCTATATGTTAGTATACTATGTGGGGTGGGTGGTAGTTGTTGGATGCTCCGATCAAATGCAGAAGCCAATTGTGAACATGTTGTTGAAGTTAGTCATCTAATCTGCTTGTAAGAGCATACAAAGGATGTTTGGTAGGGCATGAAATGTATATGTTTTGTGTGTTCAGGTATCTTTGAACACAAGTAATATATATTGAATTGTGTTTTTTTTTCCTTGTGAAATAAACATTTTGTGTGTGTCTTTCCTTAGGATTTGCTATATGTGATAGCCTATGGACCATCTCAAGTTAAACCTCCAGCAGTACAAATGTTATTTCACTATTGGCCCAATTTAAAACCCCCTGGGGCAATCAGTGAGTACAGAGGACTGCAGTACACAGGTCAGTGCAGCTGGTTTTGAATATGCCAGAATAAATATAAACGAAATGATGAGAAGTGTGCTAATGTCACATGTTTACAGTCTGATGATGTATTTTGAAATCTTTTGTTTGATAAGTTGGTACTTTGATAAGTATATAAAATATCCATTTCTCTGTATTTTCAAAAGATGTTATGAAAATTAAAAACGGTGATCATGGCTAGTAAATATATTGTGTTACTCCCAATACGAACTAAACCAGAACAGAAGAAATAAATACAGTGTTCCAAATGGTCTGTGAAACTGCCGCCTTGGCCTCACAAGGGTTCTGGCTTATTTGTGCCAGCTGCTATCACTGCTGGTGTTGCTAAGACTCCTTACCTGGCTGTTACTGTCGAAAAAAGTCAGGTGATGTCAGGTGCAGTCAGTATAATGGATAGGTTCTCGAGGTTGACTATATGGTGAAAATGAGAGACAAAGTCAGCAATGCAGCTGGAGCTGAGTAGGCGGATGGTACAAAGTCCTCTGTCCTCCAGAGTCCCCAGTGATACTGATGGGATTGTGTTTCTATAGCGGGGACTGTCCAGCAGCAATTCATGACTTGCTTTTCCTGCTTGCCTGTCTCAACCTGTTTCAAATAATCTCTGCCATATGGGATATGTTTTGTTCACTTTTAAAATTTCTGGGCCGGAATGGGACATTTTAAATAAGAAAAATGAAGGATTGGAAGAGGCCTTAGAAGACGCCCTAGACCAACTCAAGTACATCCTGAATGTTCCTGATACATGTTTGTCTTATCTGTTCTAAAGCCTTCCCTTGAAGGGTTGATAGATTTTCTTGACTTTTAAAAAAACCATTCTTCTTGTACTGCTGTGTATCACTTCTTTCATGCAAGCAGGTCTGTAAACTAAGCATGATGTTCCATCTGAACCGTTACTAGCACTGGGTAGACTGGAAAAATTTTCCTATATATAAATTTTCTGTTAATATATCCCAGAATGGGATGAGTATTATCTGCAGTTGCATGGCATTTTGACTGGGGAGCATCCTGTATAACATCCAAGTGATGCCACTTGAACATAATTTTGTTGTTTACTTCTTGTCATTACAAAACTAAGCCTCCATCTGTGGCTGGACTATTTTTCCTTTATCATAGCTTTGTTTTCATTTTGCCTGGGAATGTTACTGAATTTACTCAGCTACTCCTACCGTCCTGCTCCTGGAGTGGAAGGATAATTAATTAATTCAAGGTGTTGGTGAGATCAGGAAGGGTCTACACCGGGGATGTCTGCATCTTACTTTTTCCATTTCTTCGCTGAGTTCATGGTTCATTTCATAATTATATCCCAAACAAGTCAGTAGGCATATGTATTCTAGGTTGTTTATTTTAATTATTAGGCTTCCTGAGGAATGGCTAGGTCTTCTCTCGTATTTGTATAGTACTTAGTACAAGAGGCTCTTGTTCTTAATTGATACAACTAGACACAAAGAATATAAATATATTTTCTCCATTTATTAATTAGCTGTGCTTTGGTTTTGCAGCCTGGAATCCTATTCATTGCCAGCACATTGAATGCCATAATGCGATTAACAAACCAGCTGTGAAGGTAATGCTGTTTATTTAGGGGTCAAACCAAACTACCTGGGGGAAGGGAGGTTGCACTTTGACCCCAGCCATATGCTCTGGTTGTGTGCAGGTGACCAAGAGCAGGAGCTAAGGGAACAGGAAAGCCTGTTGAGACCAAGGGGGCCAGGACTTTGTGAATATGTTCTTTGGCTGCCTAAAGCAAGATGGGATATTTCCTCCAACTACTGTGGGCCAAGTCTTGTTATTAAACATGAGGGTGGTTGCAGAGCACTTTATAAAATTCTAAGCTGGCTCCTGGCTAATCCATGTAAATATTTTCCTGAACACGTGTATGTGTGTAAATATGTGCACAAATATTACTATATACAGGCAACATTGTGTCAATTACATCGGTACCTATTCACCTTGGTATCTTGACTGGGGTCATACAATGCACCTGATTGTGATCCTTTGCTTGGAATGTGTCCTAAAGCAAATAGCAACAAAGCTTTACTTACCTCTTCTACAGCCCTCTTTGAGGGAGGTAAATGCTATCTTTCCTGTTTATACCCAGGGCGACAAAGTAAAATGGCTTGACCAGGATCATAGTGCAATTTGATGGCAGACGCAAGAACAGCATCCCAAGTGCAGAGCGTGCTACAGTTAGGTGTACTAATTAATTAGACTTGTATCTAGTTAAACATGTAGATACAGCCAATTTTCCTGGCCTGAATTCTTATACTAACATAGTTACATTGGCCAAACAATTCTTCAGTGAGCCTTTTCCACAGGCTATGATACTGGTAGGGCATAATGGTGACACCTATCTCACAAGTCCTGCAAGGGACCACTTTTCTGCCCACTCCAATCATTCTCCATGATCCCTTTTCATAGGAAAAAAAGCTGGAAGGTGCTGCTTCATGTTGCAGTGGTCACTAGATTCAGACTAATCACTGAGTAGAGCAAAATATCAATGAAACTTAGAGTTCCAAGCTTTGCAGATGAAATACCTGAATATTTTTGAATGATCTCTGAGCTTAACTTTGACAGAACCAGTCCTGATCATCACTCAGAAAAATGCAGCCTGTTGTCTCTTGGATAGATGAATGTAAATTTGGTTAACAAAGATGAGAAACATTCAAAGAGGCATTTGTCTTTATAAATAAGATCTTGCACTTGAATGGAGTAAAAAACATTTTGATTTAAGTGGTTAAGATATTGTGCATACATACTACTGTTCAGCTTTTCCTTAAATAGTACAAAACACTTAAACAAATGTGTATGTAACTGGCTGTTAACTGTAACTGTAACTGTTTTCTGTAACTGGCTAATGTGGAAGGTTAAAAGCTAAGGCAAGACAAAGTTTGGACCTATGCTGCCAAGGGAACTCTGGGTCCATAGTCTTCATTCTGTCACTGGAATTGTGCTATATAGTTAACAACTATGATGACTGAAAATTAGATTTTGCTGGAAGAGGTGTTACTGAGTGAGAAAAATCTAGACTTTTACATTACCTTGTCCTAAGCAATGGATCCTCTGATTGTCTCTTTGGAAAAAAAAAAAAAGTAAGTCTGTCATGACTATGCAATGTAAATGTGTAACACAAAATATACTTGTCTTTAAGAGAGTGATAATACTGATACTGAAATATGTTCTGTTGTCTTCCCATAAGCTCTCGTTTTCAGTTACATCCCTCTCTTTGTTAGAAATAATTTGAGATCCTGTACTGCCAGATGCCAAGTACCATCTTTCAGAATACTAAATGTTCTCAATACATATCAAAGCTGTGTTATATTGTATGTCCTAGCATTAATGTGTTGAACTTTCTCAGTGAACTTCAATGAACAGATGTGTTAATTCTTTTCCTTCTCTGCGTTTCAGATGTGCATTGACCCATCCTTGTCTGTGGCTTTGGGTGATAAGCCACCTCCCCTATATCTTTGTGAAGAATGCAGCCAGAGAATTGCAGGGTAGGTAAACTAAGAGCTGGAAAATGATCAGGTATAGTCAGACTCCAGAGTTCAGAACTCTGGAGTTATGTTTTATTTCAGTATGATTAGCATATAATTTATATAGATAACCCTGTTGACATATATGGAGCACGCTACCACTCAATATGAATAAGGATTGCAGAAATTTACCCCACATGATAGGCATTTGCATTTAGCTTGAACAGTAGTGAGTTTTAAAGTTAAGTTCTCTGAATGAGTGGGATGCATTGATTGTGATAGGGGAATCCTATTAATTTACAAGCTTTTGCTTATGAAACATTTTTTCTCCTCATCCTTTAGCTGTCATTAAAAGCAGGACATTACAATGAAAACTCTTTCACAGAGACTTCATTACTTTTCTGTAACATGTATTTCAGATTATTCTCTAGGGTATACTGTGAAGCAACAGAGTAAAGAATTGAAATTGGTCCAGGCTTGTCCAGTACCTGGAAGGAATGCAGCCTGAGATGAATTAACAGCACTTACTCTTTTTTTTTTTCCTTTTGTTTTTATTTTTTAAAAATGGCTAATTTGGTTTGCATTACTTTACAAGATCTACTAATACTAGAGTTCCAATCGTTAGTTCAAATGGACAAGGTTACAGGTAGTTCAGAAGCTACATGGGTTTTTTTGTCCCCAGTTTAAGACACCTTTATATCACACCAACTGCAGGAAAAGCAATTACATCTCACCTCAGATTAGTCATCATTGATTTAAAGCTGCAGGAAAAAGTAATTGAATTTGGTAGAAGCATAGCTTCTAATGAGACTTGCAGAAAATGGTACTGGTACATCTTTTTTTTCCTATGTTCGTCTGTTTTTCTTCACTATCGTTTCTTAGCCATCAGACTTTCAGAGCACACGCTTTTTTAATTTGATAAATATATGCCTTAAAAGTAATTTTTTGAAAGCCTTGAACATGGTGGACCAACATCAGCAGAGTGGTAATTTGCAATAAGACAGGCACAACAAAGAGAGGTAATGTAAAGCAGCCTGCAATTTATAAAACTACATTTGTAAAAAAGCAGCTTCAGAGTAATGTCAGTCCTACCACATTAATTTAGATAAATTTCCTCTGTGCAAAAATAAATGCATATATAAATAAAAAATGGAAAGCTAATTAGATATACAATTTTTATAGGGATCACAGTGAATGGTTGATTGATGTTCTTCTACCACAAGGTAAGAGGTATTTTAAGGGTAGGTACAAACTAATCATAATTGTACAACCCTATGCTTACTGATACTTCTGCATACTGTATTACTTGAAATGCTGCATTCTATTCTAAAGGAATCTTTTAGAATTTTAAAGTAGCTTGTACTTAATACTGCTTAATGTTCTTAAAGTACAATGAAAAATTGACTAATCCTCTATCTGAAATAGTATGCAACTCTTTATTTGTGAGGAAACAGAGACAACTGAACAGAATTTCAAATCTTGAAGCATCCACAGTTGGGGCCAAGTTTTTTAAAAGTTTTTGTGTCCCACACTGGTGTCCAACAAAAGGAGCTAGTTCTTCCAGTAACCTGGAGCTGATTCAAAAGCTCTTAAAGCTTCTGAAAATCTATTCTATGAACAGGAGGCTGTAAAGGATATCAGAAAAGGACATAAAATGTTTTTCAATGATCCATTCATTGATCCAGTCATTGTCCTTTGGCCAGTGAGAGAGCCTGGTATTCTATTATCTACCAGAATGCAGACAAAGCTTGTTGACAGACTAATCCAGAATTTCCTGGGTTTACGAGGACAGTCACGTATTCTCTAAAATAACCCTTTCAAGGACAGAACAAAGACAGTCCCTCTCTCTTGGTTCTACGAACTGAAAATTCTTAGGCAGTGGAGATTTTTTTGCTGTCTCCTTTTAGTTGAAATCTAATCCAGATGAGGAATGTTTTATTTACTTAAGGGAAGTACATCTTTTCACTCAGCCACCTATATTTACTGAATCAGATGTTGCCAGGGCAACAGACTGAATAGCTACTGCTTACGGGTTGAACCTGCAAACATTTTGCTATAGAGATATGGGCCACAGACATAGTGGCTGCTTCTACATTGTTCATCCATATTCACTAATCTTTCATCCTGCAAGCTTTCACAGGCAGTGTGGGCACATCTGAGCCATGTCTCCTACAGCATGCCACGGCAGTGTGCCTACAGTTGTACTTTCACAAGTCTGTCCGTGAGGCAGAAGCATAGACAGAAGGTGGATGGGGTGCAGAGCACACCACACAATGCACCAAGGCTGTTCTTTCATTTCAGTGTAGAAATAGCCAGTAGGCCTAAGTATACAGTGTCCTACCTCATGCAGTCCAACAGGCTTAGAGGTTTCAATAATATCTGGAATGACAAGTTTAGCCTCAGAGACTTCCTTGCAGCAAGTCCATTTTCCCATGGCTGCCATAGTAAAACAGAAGGATCATCATTCTGTGTTGATGTTTTGTATGCCTTCCCCTTACAGCTGAAATTTCTGCTATATGTCAGAAGAAGGTAAGATTCAGCCATCTGTGTGATGGGGCATGATTTGATGTTGTGTGTAGTGTCATTCCATTACTATATGTGGTGCGTTCTTTTTTGTACCATTCTAAATTTTCACAATTTATCCATGAATGCATTTGTTGGTGGATGGGAATGATTCAGCAGCAAGGTTTCTTTTTGTTAAAACTGCTGATGTTTGATTTGAGTTGTAGGTTTTTGTTGAAGTGGCAATTAGTAAACAATTCAATTATGCAGTTGAGCTCAGTTTTTATTCTATAACTCTGCTTATGAAGAATGTAGAGCAAGAGATTAATTTTAAATCTAAGTGTTTATATCTTCTCATCTCCTTGAAGTCTTGGATTAATCCTAAATTGGAAAAAAATCCTACTGTAAACTGTATATTTTTAAAAATAAATGGACTGAAAATCTTCACTGCTTTGCTCTAAAAAGATTGCTGACAAAAAGAATCTGCTTGCAATACATACCAGCTAGTCTGTTTTAATAACATTTTAATAATGAGGAATACAGTGTATAACATACTCTAGATCTCATGTGGTAAAGAAAGCTTTTATGTTGGGCTGGATCACCAGGTGGCAAAAATAAGGGTAGCACATATTTTGGAGGCTTGGACGGTTACCTATGATAAGGTAGATCCTTATGTAGCATAAACTGATGTGGCACAATTGATTACACTCCTAAGGATCTGCCTGTTGCTACGCATAACTTAGAAAGACATTCTGAAGTATAAGCAGGGGTTAAGAGAACTACTGTAAATTTTAGCGATTGCTCCAAGGTAGAAAGTTGAGGTTGATGACTTAAATGTTGGTTTGGTCTGCTCCAGAAGAAAAGCAACCGTGACATTTAAGTCCAGGGCCAGCATTTAGGCCTGAGCTCATCTTTCTGGAAGTTCAGTGACACTTGGCATCAGGAGTTAGCGCGCAGTTGTGCTTATATATAGTGATTTTGGAAAGGACCAACACTTGAGCCAGTTCCCCAGTGCTGACTCTCATCCCTGTTTTCAGTTCCACTTCCTGATACTCGTGGCCTGATAAAATCTTTTTTATTTTCCAGAACTGTAGTTCACATGTCAGAAGAGCTGTTGTCACATGCTTCTCAGCGGGCTGCTGTGGCCGCCATGGCAACAGGCCAGTGCGATATTGCAAAAGATGCCATTCAAATCATCACAGCAGTGAGGTTGGGGCAGCTGCAGAAACCCATCTTTATCAGACCTCACCACCCCCTATCAATACCCGGGAGTGTGGGGCAGAGGAACTTGTGTGTACTGTGGAAGCTGTGATCAGGTAATATGGCAGCTTATGAGGCATCAATATGTAAAGCAGCATCAGGCTTCCATGTAAATATTGCCTGCAAATCTTGTGCAAGTTGATTTTAGTTTCACCAGGATAAGTTCAGAGCAGGGGTGCTGAACTCCTGCTGCATTAGCAGAGTACCGATCAGCTCTGAGTGTTGTCCTCATGAAAGAAGTCAGCCTTGAATCTTAGAATTTGATGGTACTTTATTACTGTTCTCAGGAAAATGATGAATCAGGTGCCTTAACCTCTAGTTATTCTTGATCAGATACCTGTATCCAGTGCAGGAAAGCTGCACTGACTGACCACAAGCTTGTTTTATAGCTTGCTGAAGGAAGCAGAGTTTCATGCTGAGCAGAGGGAGTATGAACTCAATCGCAGGAGGCAGATGGGCCTCTCCTCTTCCCATCACTCCCTGGACAACACAGACTTTGATAATAAAGATGATGACAAGCATGACCAACGCCTCCTGAGCCAGTTTGGAATCTGGTTCTTGGTAAGAAATTCTTGCTCTCTTCTCTCACTCCTCTTGCTTCCCTCTCCTTTTCTTTCTGAAGCCTTGATTTTATCTCTTTTTTCCTACTTCTTGTCTTTAGTTGGGTACTTTTCTGATTTGTAAGCAAAAAGAAGGAGTTCTGTGAAGCTGTCAGGCTTGGAGATTTCAGAACTAGTTTGGGTGGAGCTGCTCAATGCCTTCTGAGTCCTATATAGAGTGTACAACAGAATTATTCATCCTCTCAGTTTTTTTATTGACTTTCTGTGTGCATCGTCTTCTGCTCACAAGTGCCCCCTGCTGAGTGCCATTATTTTAACCTTAAAAGGCAATCCCCTAAAGATCTTTCACCTTCCATCTTTCAACGTCACTCTCTGGAAACTCAGCTTTCTCTCTTACCTCTGAATAGTCTGGAGGAGTCTTAGCGGGCTGCTTTTCCTTCCTGCCTTCAAATTGGTCAAGCGGGATCAGTTCCAGTCATTATACTACAGCTAATTCACCCGGGGTGGGTTGACAGAGTGAAGCCTTGCTGGTTCTACCCCTCGCAGTAGCTAGCAGAGATTATTCCAAAATAGCAGGGCTGCTGCTGGCTAGTTCGAGAGCAGGCCAGGCTGGAGCCTGATAGATTCTCAGAAATTGGATTCTGCAATTCTCCTTAAGGAGAATTCTCCTTCGCAGGCTCTTTCCAATTCACCTTGGGCTCTCAGGCTCTCTCTTCCTCTGTCACCCAGTGACAAGTGGGGAATAGTAGGACCCCTCATCCATCATCTAAACAGAGATAGGGACAGCAGGGTGGCAGGTCTAGAATCCCATAATGCCAAAAAAGCCGCTTTGCTGTTGCAAGGGGCTACATGAGGAAACTTATATTCTGCTGGTATCCTGTGGGTTTTGTTGTTTAATGTTCTTTTTGACTTAAAGCCTTTTACTTTTTTTTTTTTTTATTGTGCCATATTCATCTATTCTGTTTCAAATGGTGTTTTGTAAAGACTGAAGGCCTACGTTTCCAGAAGCAGAATTGAAGTCAGAACAGAACAGGTTTTGTTACACTGTACATGCCTCATCCTAGACACTGAGAGTCTATCTTTCTATGGTAGGGAGGGTGAGCTCACTGACTTCATTCTATTCTAATAAAATCTCTTGATCTCTCTATAGTGAGTATTGGCAGAGATGACAGCACAGATTGTGAGAAATAGTGGGTTGCTGTTTTCTTTCATAAAATGAATACCTTTCATCTAGAAACTGGACAGAGCTCAAGAGTTCCTATTAAAAAGGCTTCCAGCTGATACTGCCTTTGAGTTAACACTCAACTGAGACAAGCACCAGGAAGCAAACACCTTAACTTCAACCTGCAATGAAGTAGAACAATGAAGACTGTACTTTGAATTGGCAAGGGTGTTGTTAGCTGCCTCATCCCAAGAAAAAACATGGTGGAAAAGCACTTGTAAGATGGGTTCTGGTCTTCTCTGGGAAGCAGTGCTGTCAGCTGGTTCCCCAGAAATGACATGAATGTATCTCCTTGGTTCACTTGCTGCAAGGCAGCAGTCACTGGTTTCAGGTTGCCAAGTGCTGAGAGTACAACTTGCACTAGGAAGTGGCAACAAACAGCTGATAGGTGGTTAAAGGAGCTTCCTAAATCTCCTGTCATCTGTTATTTTCCATTCTTTGGATTCAGGGCAGCAACCTGACTTGAAACTCTCTCCTGTCCCCAGAAGATTCCAAGAGCTCAAATAGCAGGTAGTTAAGGGCTTAGCAGTGTGCCTGCTCTGTGAACTGGGGTATAGACTTGGTCTCAGATTTGGGACAGTTTTACAGTGTAGACGTAGTTTTAGAAAGAGAAAGTTTGGAGAAGGGGAGAAGAATACTAATTATTATGTGAGAATTTTTGAGGACTTAAAACTCATATTCCCACCCCAAGTGAGGACAAAACACCAAAACTGGAATCTTTTTACAAAGCAAAAATCACTTATTACATTAAGTAGACATCTTCTTTCAGACTTTTTGAAACTTTTCATTCGGTTTGTCTTTTTTCTTGTACATTTTATATATACCTGTGTATGTGTGTCATATATTTTACCAGGCATTGCATTACCTTTTGAAATGAAAAGTCATTTTAAAGTTCAAACCAAAAGGTTTCAGTTTGTCAAAGCATTCTGTATTGATATTTTCAGTGTTGAAACTAAGAAACAAAAAATTCAGTGCTTGTTTTTTTTTCCCTCTTACTGTTATTTTCTGGTTTGGAAATGTTTTGTCAATTGCCCTGTGCCAAACTCTACTTAAAACTGATCAGCTCATTTGTCTTCTATGTAATGTTCATCCTCCTATCTTTGAGAATATGTAAAATATAGTAGGCAAACAATTTGCCATGTTTAATTCTAGAAATGAAACTTGATTTGTGTTTCTGTCTTCCAGGTGAGCCTTTGCACTCCCAGTGAGAATACACCCACGGAGAGTTTAGCAAGGCTGGTTAGCATGGTATTCCAGTGGTTTCACTCTACAGCTTACATGATGGACGATGAAGTTGGTAGCCTGGTTGAAAAGCTCAAACCCCAGTTTGTTACTAAATGGTTGAAGACTGTTTGTGATGTCCGATTTGATGTCATGGTTATGTGCCTCCTTCCTAAACCAATGGAGTTTGCCAGGGTAAGAATAATTTATCCGAAGGTTCCTTTATTTGCCACAGAGATTAAAGTCTTAAGTATAAAGACCATTTCTCCCCCAGCTCTGTCAAGGCAAAAGAAATCTCAGTGGTTCAGGGAGCAGTGGAGTTCAGGAACTTTTCCTCTTCATAGCATTTTTAGTTTTACTGTGTTAGAGAGCAGGGATTATTTACAGTAATATGAAGACAGGTTGGAGGAATATTATAGGTATTGAAAGATACTGTACATTTTTGATAGCTGCACATTTCCATTATGCTGCTGAAGCACCCAAGCATGTCTTTAGTGAAAGGTATCATTTGTCTGCTCCCAGGTATAAGCCTGTCCTTCACTAGTCTGCTTTACTCATGTTTCTCTTTTCTTTGCATACTTCATCTCTGCAGCTGTGAATTAAGGTTCATGAAATCACACAGTTGTAACTGAAAGGAACTCTGGGCATACTGGTGCCCTGTAGCTTCAGATACCTAATTTAGGTGACTCGGTTAAGAGACTAGTCTGCCATGGTTCGCCTTATTGTGGATGGAGAGAAAGAGACTTATCTGGAAGGTCATTCAGGGTGCCTAAGTGAGACCGTTGCTGCAATCGTTTCTAGAAAGAGTCTTTCTGTCCATTAATTATGAAGCAGGACTTGCGACCTAACCTGGATAGTGAAGACAGGCAACAAAGTCAGGCATGTGACTATTCCTCTATAGAAAATGAAACATCAGCATGAAAATAGGAACTTTGTGAGGGGTTTAAGATTTTTTCTTCATTTATCACTGCCAGCTGTACCACGTGTACTTTTGTAAGACTTCCATTTTGTGATCCTCTTATGTAAAATGTCCAGGGGACATGTTGGTTTTGTTTCCTAAAATTAAGTGGCTAGACTAGGAAAGGCCATAAAGACTTGACAAGATATATCATCAGGGATGAAGTGTGCATCCATGGATTTTTCATTACCTAATATGTGGGATTTGCTGTACGTGTGCAGACCAGCATGTGTATGTGTCTTACTCTGAACCATCGCTCTGAAGATACACCTGGCTGTGGAAGGATTGGAGGGCAGCTGAGGAAATTTAAGAGGTGGATGGATGAATTGAATGTTAGAACTGAAGAAAAGAGATCAGGGCTTTGAGGCTAAAGGGGGAAGGAAGGACTGAACCTCATGCTGTAATCTGTTATGGATCTTTTTCTTGTCTTGGATCCAGCCCCTTTTTTTGATTTTTATTACCCCCACTGCAATACTTAAGACTAGACTGACAACTTGCCAGATTTGCAAGGGTTCACTAGAACATGAAGACAAACAGCCATGAAATCAGCTGTGATGAATGGAGAAAAAATAGTTTGTTGGCTGAGATTACCAGTAGTTGCTGCCAGAACAGCAGGCATCTCTAGAGCCATTAGTCAGGAACAGCAGATGTGAGCTGAGGTCAGTTAGAATAATTAATCTCTGTAGGCCAGTTACTTATTTACTTAGAAGTATATTTTTTGGCTGCCATCACTTAGAACCTTCCCTCAAAAAAACCTAAACCAAACAACCACAAAAGGACACCTGGTACAGACCAAGTTTTTAAAAATAAAGACGCAGCACTGTAACAAGTTGCCCAGAGCAAATAATTGAAGGTGCAAGTTTGACCAAACAAATCTGTCCCTTGTTGAGAACTGTAAACAATGAGAGGTTACGCTGTGTCATGGCCTGGAAGTGAGCAAACTTCAGCTAAATCTTGAACAGTGCTTTTATGTACCGTGGGTCAAATGACAGAAGAAAAAAACAATGCAATCCCCGTGGCTGAATTCTGAATTCAGGCTGAAAGGTGCTGATGATCACCCCCCACAATTTCTTGGCTGCAACACACTGAGCAAATTTATGGTGCTGGGCAAGTTACAGAGACTAGAAATACCATTCATCAGTATGATTCCTGGAAATACCCACAGGTTGGTGGATACTGGGACAAATCGTGTAGTGCTGTGACCCAGTTAAAAGAAGGGCTGAATCGAATCCTTTGCTTGATTCCATACAATGTGATAAACCAGTCGGTGTGGGAATGTATCATGCCAGAGTGGTTGGAAGCTATAAGGACGGAAGTGCCTGATAATCAACTGAAAGAGTTCCGGGAAGTGTTGAGGTATGTAGACATATGTAGGAACCATTCTATTGTTGCATATGTTGATCGTTGAGGCTTTTAGCACAATAAGATGGTGACAGCAAATAAAAATGCCTGTGTGCAATAGACAGTACTGAGTGAATGCTTCTGATTTTTTTATGACTTATATTTAGACTAAAGCACTTGAGCTTTGGGAAAATTTCCTTCTGTTGCTCCTGGTATCCTGGAATCTGTATCAAGAGCCAACTACATGGATGCTTCTTTGCTGTGAGCAAGGCACATTTTCAGTGGCTTCCTGCAGCATGGTAGAAAAAGCATCTTTCTTTTCCTGGCCAGCTGTTGATGAGACATAGTGGGGACTGGTAGAGCTGGCACTGAAAGAGTGATGATTTGTATTGATTTAGCTAATGTCTTCCCCTGTTGAGCAAAGAAAACACCAGAATAAGAATGGTGGCTGTCTGCTGTATGCCTTTGACAATAAAACTTCACATTGCCTTTTAACTGATGAAAAGGCTCTGAAACTGACTGTAAGTTTATATTTGTAGGTATTGATGTAAACTTTTTTAGTGTAAACATGGAATAGTGGAGGCATGGTGAGATAAGAAATGCTGGTAGTGAGATTGCCTTTTGACCAGTTTTCTGTTATATCTCACACAGTGTGTGCCATGGTAACTCAGTGACGCTATATTTTTTTTTCTACTTTTCAGCAAAATGTTTGACATTGAACTTTGTCCTCTCCCTTTCTCCATGGAGGAGATGTTTGGCTTCATTAGCTGTCGATTCACAGGGTATCCATCCTCTGTGCAAGAGCAAGCATTGCTTTGGCTGCATGTAAGTGTCCTCTCTTGACAAGTCATGCTGAAGCAGCTTATGATTTTGGAAAAGAAAAAAAAAAGGGGGGGGTGGCGAAAGAAACCACTTTTCCAAGGATCATGGAACCTTTCTGCCCTTTGCGTAGCCCCAGCGTAAGGATGGTTGGTAGACAGATCCCAGGAAGCTTTATGTTACTAGCCCATCATGGGCAATATAATGGAAGCCTGGAAATTCCTTTTACCTTTGAATGTCAGTTGCGTCTTTAGGGCCATTCAGCTGTCTGACTTTTTGCCAGCAGTAGGTTTTAGTTTCTGCAGAATTTGATCTGTAGATTCCAAAATTAATTCCAGGCTCCAGAAGCAGCTATAGTTGTTCCCACATACGAAGATCTGGATTAGACTAGCTCTGTACGCATCAAGCTTTCTGCTACTCTGGCCTTTTTGTGCTATATTTGCCCACAAAGCTGGCATCCACCCAGTGTTCATATTCAAAAACTACAGGGACAATTGTGTCAGCTGGGGGCAGTGAATTCAAAACGGTATAAAATCTTCCACAGCACCTCAGAATAATACCTGTATTCTTCATTATCACTTCTTTTCTGCTGAGGGTTATTTTGGTTAAGCCTCTGCAAAGACCAATTTACCTGGTGACTGTATCAATTTTCATGTATGCAGAGTTTTCAAATAAAGTATGAATTTTTTAGATAATTCTTGACCTAATAACAGTTAATGACAAGTATGAGTGAGCTCATATTTGTCTGAGTGTTGGTGAAAAAATAGATAATGAATATTCCCTCACTGATTTGCAGATGACTGTCCTGTCACTATGTTGACACCTGTAGGCAACCATTCTGACTAGGTTCTTATAATGAATACAGGAATTCAGTTTTAAGTAGTAATAAGTATAGTAAATAGTTATTCATCTAAGTATTGGTAATACTTTTGGTTTACAGAAATACTTTCATGGACCAACCTCGCATCTCTGTGTGTTTGTGCATAAAACTGATCTCAAGGCGCACCAAGTGGATGCCAACAAATATTTTGAAAATACCATTTTTTTGCCAGTTCTCTTTTGCCCTGATTCTAACAGAAATCTAAGATCACAGCTCACCTCATTGAATCCCAAAATTAAATGCATGGAGCTTGCTGAACTGAGGATCATATGATAAAGGTGCTTATAAAGTGGCTGGCATTTTTGATCAAACTTGAAACTCATGCTTTTTTATTGTCTTTCCTCAGGTGTTATCTGAACTAGACATTGTTGTTCCTCTTCAGTTACTAATCAGCATGTTTTCTGATGGAGTTAATTCTGTAAAAGAGTTAGCAAATCAAAGAAAATCGAGAGTCAGTGAACTGGCAGGAAACCTTGCAGCTCGGAGGGTAACTGTTATTTATCCTGCTTATTTTTTTGCTTAGAACAGTTTTCCTGATAGAACGCATGTGAAGAATTAAAAACACTAGAAATTTTGAAAATGGAAGAAAATTGGCATGACTTCTTCAATTAATACCACTCTATTACATGGTCAGTATAACGATAATGCAGATAGGAACTGCAGAAAAACTGTGCAGTTTTCCCTTAGTGAACTCGTTTGTTTGGACTACTTTTGGAGTGTTCTTGGTATCTTTTCCAACCATTTTCATTCTCTGCACCTTCTATTAATAACCATCAACAACAAGTTGTTAGGGACAACTGGTCACCCAGAGTGAGCTTTTGTATTCTAGTGCAAATTTGGTGGGCCTAGGTGTGTTTTGGTAGGGTGACAGAGCAGAATTTATTTCTGTTTCCCTGCATTTTTCTTCCCCATCCAAGAGATGCAAAAATTTACCTAAAGTTGTCTGTCAAAGGCTTAGGGTCTGGAAGAAAACTTGTACAAATCTGTAGGCACTACACATACTTGGACTGATGTGACTAACTTCCCAGTAATCTTGGACGAAGTGCTTCAAGGACAGCAGGAACAAGAGTGCTTTAAAGGTCAGATCTTTAGATTTAAGGAACTACAGCATCTAGGCAGTTGATGATTCCTTACATGTGGTCTGCCTGTCTTCTGATGTAGCTCTGCAGAGAGCACTCCAACACCTAGCCCATGACCACTTTAAACTAAGCAAAAAAAATGGACAAACTTACTGTCTGGTCTTTCAGGCCATAGCTGGCCTAAAAATAGACCTCATGTGTCATCTAACTGTGTATCTCCCTGCAACACTTAGGGGTTCTCAGGGTGTTTAGGTGGCCAACTGTGGTGTGGACATAATCAATACAGACATGCACATCTTGTTCCCATTGTGTCTAGTTCATTTGCAGCTACCTGTATCCTTGGTATAGCCTCACTTAGGCTGTTCTCTTGAGATAGCCTCCTTTATTAGCCTCCTACTATTGAAGTTCGTGTCCCTGAATCATTGTAACCTGATGGCCACTTTACTGCCTGCACCAATTTTCTGTTTGGTTTATGATGTTAAAATTACTCCTTAGTAGGAATAAGATAATGGATGTCAGCCACTTAGCTTAAGAGAATATATAAATCCATGCAGAATATGATTCCTGTACTTCTAGCATATTTTATCATTTGATGGCATTAAGGGACACGGGTAGATTTTGCAAAAACACTATAGAAGGGGATAGTAAAGCTGTCAAAGTTCTTGCCATTTTCTGCAATTTCGTATAGAATGAGATTGCTTAAATGCCTAACAGTCATTTGGACATGTTGATTCTCTATGTCTTCAGGTAAGCGTTGCTTCTGACCCTGGGCGCAGAGTTCAGCACAACATGCTGAGTCCTTTCCCAAGCCCCTTCCAGAGCCCATTTCGGAGTCCAATTGGTAGTCCTTTTCACAGCCCTTTCAAGAACTTTGGACACCCCAGTGGAAAGACAATTGATTTTGACTGTGAAGATGATGAAATGAATCTTAATTGCTTCATTCTGATGTTTGATCTCATCTTGAAGCAGGTACTTGCAGAAGAAAAACACCCATATTGAGGGTACATTGCAGTTCCGCAGTCACTTTTGGCTCTCCTTTAATCCTGTATTGAGTCCTTTTCTGTAAAGGGACTGGCATGAAGCGTAAGGCATTTAAATCCCTCTGCAGATGTCATCTGCCTTTACCCATATAGGAGTTACAGGTTCGTGTTTAATGAAGAGAAGTTAGATACCTCCACATTCGTGTTAGATAGCTCATATGAGTGAAAGGAACTTCTCCTTGGAGATGTGTTTATTTCTACAGACTAGAAGCAGAGGCTTGTTGATAGGCTTAGATTAAATGCATAATTTTTGGATAGCTAGTTTTATACATTGTGAATCCAAGGCCAAGTGTTTTGGATAACTGTCTCCAGGTAAAATTCATGGATTCTGTGCTTGAAATTATCTATTTACTCTAGCTCTTCGAGCTTGGGCCTCAATACCAGTGGCAATTTAAAATTGTGAGTTCCAGTTTATCTCAAACTCTTCCCAGTACTGTAATATAACACTAGCAGAAATGTAGGAATAGGCAGAATAGTTAGTGCTCTGGCTTTTAAATAAATAATAAATCCTTACTCTTTTCACTCTCTTTCAGATGGAACTCCAGGATGATGGTGTCACTTTGGGCTTAGAGAACAGCATTTCAAAAGATATAATATCCATCATAAACAATGTGTTCCAGGCACCCTGGGGTGGTTCTCACACCTGTCAGAAAGATGAAAAAGCAGTTGAATGTGGTCTGTGTCAGTCCAGCATTCTGTGTTACCAGCTGGGTTTTGAGCTGCTGGAACAGCTTGCTCCAAAAGAAGAAATCAGGCTTGTGGTAAGTAGAGCAGGAAAGGGCCTGTATTACTGGTGTGCTGAAACTCCTCTTCTTCATTGTTCTCATTACATTGTGCACAAGGGAGCAAAGCTGCGCTGGCCTTTGGCATGGAGGATTTGGGAAGCTGAAGCAAAATGCCATTGAATTTTAAAATTTCCTAAGTTTGAATTGATTCAAAGAACCCAGGGAAGATGACAATATTCATCCAGCATGAACTCTTCCCCCATCAACACTGAAGTGCTGATACTCCTATGATACTGTGTCTTAAATAAAATGTGAGATGTTAATACTTAGTGTTTTTCACCTTCTTTTAAAAGCTAAGAGTGAGTATTTTGAAATGATTAATGATTTTGAGTGAATCAGTTGTCAAGTGAGCAAGCCTTAGTTGGTGCTTGATTTTTGAAAATGCTGAGCACTGTTGAAAGACAGAATATACTTCAGGTTGAGTATCCAACTTTATCAGACACAGATATGTACTCTCCAATCCCTAGTCATCATTCAAGTCCTCTGTAGCTTTGCAGAAGAATTGAAGCATTGCCTGTGGTGTGATGAATTTATTTTAAGCTGTATGTCTATTATACGTAACTGTTCCATCTGATAATTCAGAAGACAGCATTGTTCCCCTTATTTTGAGGGCTCATTTGCTGTGGCATGGTAGTGGCAGGATGTTCATTAGTAATTTTTTTTCGGTAGTGGCCATAATGATGCCTTTTGATATGTAAAAGTTTCGGAATTCAATTTGGATGTGTATGCTAATACACATTAGTATTACACACAAGTAGGTACTGTGCATGTGGTATTCAGTAACTTGTACTAGAAAAATCATCTCATGCTCTTTCGGTGCAGATGCTCACCTCAACCAAAAAATAGCAAGTGGTGAATTCTTTTGAGTGCTGGGGCTCGGTGCCATTTCTAGGATCCACCTTGCAATTTATAACATGAAGTTCACAATGGCAACCTGTAATCCTGAGCTCCTGGCCACAGGCAGAAGTAACTCCAGCCTGGTCCTTTTTTCAGTGTAAAAGTGATTGAGGTAGCTCCTGCCTCTAAGCCTGTAACGCTACAGGAAACATGCCCTGCTCTTGTCTGTTACTCCTCTGAGGCAAGGATGACAAGTTTGGTGAAACCACAGCACTCTGATTGGATCCACTTCAGCTCCAATATGGATGTACAGTTTCTGTTAAGTGGTATCACTTACATCCACGGTTGAAACATAGTCTTCTTGTCGGTATGCATTTGCTGATGCAGATTTTAGATAGGCAGGTGATTTCAATGCACAAGTGTGCATGGAACTAGACAGTGTCTGCCTCATTTGAGCTCAGCTTATCACACCAAATGTAACTTAAACAGCAGGATATGGCCTCATGTATTTAGATAACATAAAGAAATGAATTTAACTTATTATATTCTTAAAGGAGCCCACAGATAACCTCGAGGATAGTCTTCTGTATACTAGACCTGAGTTTATTATAGGAACTGAAGGAGAAGAGGAAGACAAGTTGGCACCAAAACATGGAGAAAACCCAGGAAATCACACAGAGACCACAGAAAATGCTGGTAGGTGGAGGGTGAGAAGGTTGAGTATTTCAGTAGGACTTTAAATGAAACGCTTCTACTCATATAGAATAGAAGGTTCTGAAGCAGTCTGTCAAGTCCAACAATGCACAGTCACTTTTTCCTCATGCATTTAATTCTTTCAACATATTAATTAAATAGGAAGGCTGTATTTATGTTGATAGCAAGTGTGACTGTCTCTCAAAAAAGTGTTGGAAGAAATCTTGGCTTTTTGAACATATAAAATAACAAAAACATTACATGCCAAATTCTGTGCTGTTGTAACTTTACTGACTGCAGGGTTACTGTGGCTAGAATTAATTTCTCTCTCATCGCTTTGACATTCTTTAGTTTCATTTTGAATCCACAGATGAGAGAACTTTAACAACATTTTATGTAACTTACATTTTTAACAGCGATAAAGAATGACCCAGAAAGAAAATTTTGTTATCAGCAACTTCCAGTTACCTTGAAGCTCATATACACTATATTGCAGGTAACATTGATTACTTGTTTGTTTAATCTGAATTTTTGGTTAAGTGGTGTCATTGTGTTGAGAGTAGTACGTCTGCTTCCACAGGAAATGTCAAGGTTTGAAGAACCAGACATTCTTTTTAACATGCTGAACTGTCTGAAGATCCTGTGTCTTCATGGGGAATGCCTATATATAGCAAGAAAGGACCATCCACAATTTCTTGCCTATATTCAAGATCACATGCTAATTGCAAGGTAGGTTTTTATTGCACATTTTGTCTTCATACTTTATTGGTTCTCCAATTGTACATTCGTTGTTGGCATCAAAGAATTTGCAGGTTTAGTATGGAAAATTAACAACAGATGGTAGGGAAGTGTGGAAAGGTTAAGTAACTGTATAAGGGCACATTGCACAGGCTAATTAAGAGGTTGTAAATGAAGCCAAGGTACCCTGCATTGTCCATCATGGCTACTCTGTCATGCACCACTTGTTTTGCAGGGAGTCAGAGTTTCTCATATTGAATAATAGCATTGTCTGAGACTGAGGTATCTTCCCTGACTCTACAAACTAAAATAAAGGAGGATGTAGAGGCAGGCACACAGTCTATAAGGCTCTAGCATTAAAGCCGAGAGAACAACAGTATTGCAACTTATTTTTAAGAGATAAAGGAAGTTTTTTCATTTAGAATCAGGTGAATTGGATTGAAATCTCTGCATTTTAAGATTCTCTTTGGAGAAAGAGACTTTTGCAGAAACTCACTGAATAAACATCAGCATATGATGTTCTGAAATAAAGTGTGTTCATCAGCGCTTACAGCTACTCTGTATCAATCTCATTGAGCATCTCCTGAGACTGTAGGGCTTTAGCAGACTAGACAAACTGTCCTGAATCTAAATACCGGCAAACTGTGAACACGCGACATCTTAGTCATTCATGGATGCACAGGATTCGTGGTGCCAAGACAGTTCATGTAGCTTATGCGCCAAAGCTGGTTGTGCTGAAGCTGCTAATTCATAGCATATATTATGTTCCATGGCGGCTGTGCCTTGAATTAGGCAAACTCTTGTCAAATCTGAAGTGTTTCAATGTAAGGAATATTTGAACCTGGATTTTCAAGAAAAACTGCTGTAGTTGAAGATTTGCAAGTAGCTCCGTTCTACCAGCAGCTCTGTAGTATTCACATAAATGCCCAGGACGGCTCATAGAGATTTTCATGCAAAGTGCATTCCCACCAACAATTCAGTGTAGACATTTAGAAGAAAGGATGTCAAGGGAATGTTTTTATAAGCAGGCTTGCTCTTTTTGGTCTTTCCAGCTTATGGGGAGTTGTGAAGTCTGAGTTCTCTCAGCTTTCTTCCCTGGCAGTCCCACTTCTTCTTCATGCACTTTCGCTTCCCCATGGAGCTGACATTTTCTGGACAATCATAAACAGCAATTTCAACAGCAAAGATTGGAAGATGAGATTTGAAGCAGGTAGGCCTGAGAAATGTACACTATTTGCTCTTTGTTGCTTCACTGAAGAGGTTGAGCTTTCTCTGCTGTAACTGAGGAAACCTATAATAGATGATTATCTTTTTGCTGCTTTGGGGAGTTTTGGAGACAGTCTGGTGCAAAGTGATGGCACAACAATGCAGGAGAATAGAGGAGAACATGAGACATTTTGGATAATCAAAGTAAAATCAAAATTGCAACACTTGCCAGCTATTTTTGGTTACTTTCTCAGATGTGCATATTTCTAGGAGAGCTATATTAATCAGGACATAAAGAAGCCATTGCCTAAATTAATATGCATATTTTCTTTGTCTGGGGGCATGGCTGCTACAGTGGAGAAGGTGGCTGTGTTGTGCAGATTTTTGGATATTCACTCTGTGACAAAAAATCACCTGCTGAAGTACTCTTTGGCTCATGCATTCTGCTGTTTCCTGACTGCTGTGGAAGATGTCAACCCAGCAGTAGCTACAAGAGCTGGGCTATTACTTGACACCATAAAGAGGCCAGCTTTACAGGTAGGTTCGTTGTATGGGAAAAAATATATTCAAACAGGAATCTGGGTTTTCACCCGAAGTTCAAAGTGGTTCAGGCATATAGCATCATGGTCACTGCTAATACCTCTTTAGGCAAACGTTACGGGTCTTGGTAATTGACATATGCACAAAACAGCCAAGGGAAATGATACTGCCCTGGCCCCAGCTTAGAATCATAGAATCTTTTAGGTTGGAAAAGACCTTTAAGATCATCGAGTCCAACTACAAAGGATTACTATTGCATTTGAACTGCTATCATAGAAAGCTGTAAATGTTTTTTATTATTTTAAAAGTTATTGACATCTTTCAATTTAAAAAAAATAAATTTCTAAGTCTTATGACACTCTGCTGAGCTGACAGTGAGAAAATATATTCAAGCAAAACCAAACATGGTCTTGATCTTTTCGAGATTTACTTAGGCATGTAATTTTAAACATGTGAGAGACCCTGCCAATTAGAATTGTCATGATTAAAACTAAGCAGATATGAAAGGTATCAGAGCCTATGTATACAAGCAGGACAAAAAAAAATCTCATAGTACACAATTCAGTTCTGGTTCTCTGGAGAATAGAATGAATGTGTATTTTAAAAAGTTCAGTGTTGCTGCCTATAAAAAGCTGTTAATACTTGCTAGTTTTCTTCCACATAGTGCCTTTTCAAAATAGTTTCCAGAGAACTTGAAATCACTGAGTTCATTGCGACTGTTACCAGTATACTGCACTTTCATATTTAATCTGTGGGTTTTCTTCTCAAACATAAGTCTTGACACTACACCCAGAATTCTAGTGCAAATAAAATACAGAAGCATTTTGAGGCAAAGTACTTCTGATACACTTCACCACATAATCTTTCTTCCTCTGTTTGGGCTTGGTGATTCATTCTTTTTGTAATTAAGGGCTTGATTCAGTTGCCTAAATATAAGCTTTTTCTCAGTCAGGGGTGTGTGAAGAGAATACTTTGATATTGTGTACCAAATGTGCAGTAGGACAGAACTTTGCCTATACCTTTGTATTCCTCAAAATCTTAGCAAATTCTCCATTCTAAATATGATGTTCATTTATCTCCTTACTTACCTTACTTTTCCATTGGTATCAGTAGCATTAGTTCTGATTTAAAGGACTTGGTAGGAAAAATGAGCTAAACCTTTATCCTGTACTAATGAACAGGAGAAGTTGTGAGCTTTGACCTCCCTTTGCTTTAAAAAATGCTTTAAGTTTTCACATCTCAGTTCTGTGTTGTTTTTTTTTTCCCTCTATAGGGTCTCTGCCTCTGCCTTGATTTCCAGTTTGACACAGTTGTCAAGGACAGGCCCACAATTCTTAGTAAGCTTTTGCTACTTCATTTTCTAAAAGCGGATATTCCAGCTTTGAGCTGGGAGTTCTTTGTGAATCGCTTTGAGACCCTGTCTCTGGAAGCACAGCTTCATCTGGACTGCAACAAAGAATTCCCTTTCCCAACAAGTAAGCAGAGTCCAAATCAATGTGATCACCTTTTATCAGCTTCTGGAATTTCAGCTGCCTGCAAGGGTCTAGCAGAGATCTAGGTCTCACCTGTATAAATTCTCTGAAATTAAGTAATCTTTCAGGCCAAAAGAGAGTAATTCGAAGTGAGCATTTTTTGCCTGCCTGAATACAGATTAGGCTATATTCTGTTGCACCTTTGGGTGTCATGTTTTACACTCACTAGGATGTGATTGCCAGCCTTGGTTGAAATGCACTCTGGTTCTGTGATCAGCTGCAACCTGCATTAACCCACTCGTTCTTTTGTAGATGTTCTTATGCTATCAGCATTGCTATTCTCAAAGGCCTAGGTCATGCCTGACCCTGCTCTGTAGTGGGCTGTACAAAGACAGCCCTAGGAGCTGTATGACCCTCAAAAAACAAACAAATATATGGGGCACAGCACAAGAGGTACATGGACTCTTACAGCTGGTGCTCAGTTAACTATTCCTGCAGTGACAAATGTTTGTAAATGTTTGTCCTGTTCATACCTGGTTTCTTGATGAGACCCCATGTCTCTTTCCATTCACTAGGTGGGGCTAAAAAATAATCTGTGCATGATTGTTTAACATGCTGAGTAACTGAAAACTTCCTTACCCAAGTGGTGGCCCATGAGGCAGATCTATTTCCATCTGGTTTCCTTGGAGGAGGTGGGGACAGCTGTTTAGACAGCGTGTACTCCCTCAGCAGTCTAATGCCTCCTCCTACACTTGCATGGAGCCCAGTGCCTAAAAAAGACTGGGGGCTGCTGCTGCATCCACACAGGAGATAGGTGGAACTGCAAACATATTTTCTTCTCCATGTGTGAGTAGCTTGACCCAAAGCTGGGACCTGCTGCTGTGGCCTGAGGAGGGAGTCTTGGCACTAGTTTCTAGCACCTCTGGCTGCAAATGTAGGGTCATATCTTTAAATATGAATATTTGGGAGTGATGTAAAATTCAAAATATGCAAAAGATATTTTTCAGGTTTCTTTTTAACCTTTCTCTTTGCCTTTTCAAAGTGGTGCAAAGGATGGGCTCACCAGCTTTAGTTGCTCAGATAATTAAACTCAAAGGGTTTGAATGCACTATAGACATGAGTATGGAAAGGTATTGGTGACCCCATTAAGACATGCAGTGATACTGCTGGTAACACTACTGTAAACGCATAATCACACTCACAGATTTTTGGAAGCGCTGTTCAAATCCAGGATGATAGGTGTAGGCAGGACAGGAGGTCAGTGAGGCAAAACTAGAGGCCCCATTTGGGTATGAGTGCACTAAACGTGATCCATACTCATGAGATTCCTACTGTTTTAAATAGAGGGCACCTCATATTCCCTTAGCCTGAAGTTCAGGTTTTGGTTTCAAGAACCTGTTTTTGTCCAATCTCTAAAGAAGTAACAGCATAATTTTTTAAACATAGTTACGCCATTCGGGGTTTTATGGATTTCAGAATGAGAGCATGCAAATGAGTACCTTGCAGATGGACCCCTTGAGCCCATATGAAGCTTTCCTGACTTGAGTGGGACCTGGGGCCCAGTTGCATTTGGCACTCGGCAGCATTAGGGCCTCACCATGCTGTGGAATGAATCCTAACTTGGTCAATTGCATTTGCAAAGCTATCACTGCTGTCCGGACAAATGTCGCCAACCTCAGTGATGCAGCAATGTGGAAGATCAAGAGGGCTCGTTTCGCACGTAATCGTCAGAAGAGTGTGCGTTCCCTGAGGGACAGTGTGAAGGGACCAGTGGAGTCAAAGAGAGCGCTCTCCCTTCCAGAAACCTTAACCACCAAAATTCGTTGAGTATCTATTTATATTTTTGTGACACGCCTGTATCTTCTCCCTTAGGATCGTATCCTATTGCTAGGTACACATCGGAATTGTCAATATTTATCCAATTGGGATAGCAAATTTAGGTTTCTGACTGATTTGGGCATTATTCAGATAATGACAAGTTAGTGAGTTTGACAAAGAACATCATAGACAAACATTATGTCTATGCTGTGTTTGTTTAAAATGCCAGAACAAAATGCTCCAAGAGTAGTTTGTGGATAGATCTTAATTTTTATTTGTGGCTGATACACAGTAGTTTTGTCTAAAATAGATAAAGTGTTTACAGAAAAATTCCTGTTTTACTAATTTACTTATTAATTGTGATTATTAATCAGTGTATGCCGCATATGCTAGACATCTTAAAAACAACTGTTAATGTCTCAAATGAGCTTTTGGATATCTTCAGAATTCCTTTGTTAAGAAAACAATGTCCATGCAACACATCCTTCCTGCCAGCTTGTATAGGAGGACCTAGGTGCTGGAAATCCATAGGCCTCTGTGGAGCACTGTACAGGTATCATTCCAAGCAGAAATAAAGCTTACCCATTCTCATTTAGAGAATTTTACAAACACGGATTAGTCTTTGTATTCAAATTGGACCTCTCACATTGCTCCTGCCCATATAATAGGAACTGATAAACAAACCTGGGTGCTGGTGAACTGTTAAGTTAAAAGGTAATTTCTTTTCTCCAAAACAAATACCACCATATTTTGGGACTTTTAGGTAATCCTTGACCGATTTCTGATCCTGCATAGGGGCTCCGGTGTGGTGACTCTTGTACCAGCAAAACTGAACAATGGAGAAAACTAGAGGTATTGAACATGGTGCACAAAATCTGTAGGGCACAGAAATGACATGTTTCGAACGGTTACACTCACTGCCTGACAACAGTGCATGACTAAATGGACATAAATATGCTAGCACTGGGTATATGCTGAAGTATAAGATGTCAGTACTGCCTTTTTAAACACAGTTGCTCGTTTTTGCTTTTTTTTTTTAAGCTGTGAGCTTGACCAGACATGAGCAGTCGGCTCCAGCACTTGGAGGAACACCAGAGCAAACACCAGGTGGGTTTGACAAGGGGGGTGTTTTGATGGAACAGGAAAAGGAAGGCACTAGTGCTAGCTTTCTTGCTGACTTGAGACAAACTTATGCAAGATAGAAGTTGTCTAAAAGGCACAGTGAATCACGTCTCAGCATGGTTCCAAAAGGTATAAATTGAAGTTTTGCTCTTGATCTGTACTGAAAACTGCCCCCAGTTGTAAATAGTACTTCGGGGCTGGGAGGAGGTTATTCAGAGGCAGTCAGGTGTGTGGGCACTGCCTTACCCTCCTGTGTTTCATTGCCCACAGGAACAAGTAAATCTGGCCTCATGGGTCACCTGTGTTCAGCCTGATCTTTGACCTTCAGGATTTAGAGACAGCAGACAGAATGCTTTTGATTGTTGGTACTGTAAATTACACTTGTCTCCTCTGTATGCTTATAGACATCTTAAGTCCCTTATTTTATATTTACTGACATTTTGTGAAGATGTCACCCTTCTGTCAGGCATTTGTAGAATAGCTAGCTCAGCAGGGTCCAAGTAGTCTCTAAATAATTGTGACTACTGACAGGTCTTGCTCTGAGTCCTGTGTAGACTGACCATTTCGAAGCGAAAAATCTCAGATTCAGATCTTTTCATATTCCTTCTTCAAGACTTGCAATATTTCCAGCAGACTCAAATTCAGAATTAGAACAGATGAGCTTACTGAGTAATCAGCTGAAAGGAAAATACCTTGCCAGCATGGGCACTGACTAAGCTGTGAAATGGACTAGGAGAGCTTCTGAATTAGCAGTATATAGCCCTATCGTAATAGCCCAGTGAGAGCTGGAAATCAACCAGCTCCTTGCAGAACATGGGTGTCACAGGCTGTCAGAGGCTAATAGAAGGAACAAGTGAAATAATGGTGTGATGAACAGATGTGTCAGTGAATGATCTTCATTTAATGGCACCATTCATTCACCTGCTGTATACTGGGCTTAGAGAAACTTGTCACAGAAGGAGTGTCAGTCTCACAGTAGACATTGTTAGCCATTGTGATGTTATTAGATGTATTTTGGTATTTCAGATCTTCAGTTTCCGGGCTCAGGTAATTAATCACCTAAGCTGCAAATTCATGTTCCGCTAAAGATGTATATATAAAAAGTTGCACGTAGCTAGTAATCACTGACATGAAAAGTCTGTTAATATGTTTCAAAATTATCACAGATGCTTTGGAAACTAGGGGACAAATGACTGTCCCTCTCCGCCTGCCCAGTATTTATGTCTTTCTAAAATCTTAATTTTTTGTAAATTTTTTTTTAAGGTTTGACTCATAGTTTCTAACACTTTGCATTCGCAGTACTGAGCATATGTGATTCGTCTAAGGAACTAACTGACTCCTAAACATAGGCTGTACATCTGCTGTAGAAAAACATTTATTTTATACATACCACTCGAATCAACCAGCCCTCATGCTCATCCGTTCTTTCTAGATCTAAAACTGTAATCCTTGCACAGTTCAAATGGAAGCTGAATTCAATGTGTGTTCTGTATGGATTAAACACCAGGATCATGTATTTGTTCATCTACCCTCTGCAATACCCTGGACCGTCACTTAGAGAGTTTCGTTGATAGGCACAGGGGTCACAATTGGGATGAAGCACAATATAATTGTGATCTGATGTTTTATGTTATATTGTGATATACCTTAAAGTAATTAGAAGGTAGAGAGTTCTGATATCAGGGACACACGAATAAAGAGGTGAATCTGTGGGCATAAGGCTAGACTGAATTCAGGAATGGCTGCAAATTAACTAGCAGGCTGTGTGTTTGGTGATGTGAGAAGGTTTTCCGGGGGGGGGTGTGTGTGTGTGTATGTATATACCTTGTATGTAGGCACACACACACATGCACACAAACTGTATATGTATGCGCATGCATTTTGAGGGGTAAAAGCCACCATATCCACTGTAAAGGCAGGGGTGCCTTCGTTTTACATTCTTAGCTTGAATCTAAACAGCCTGATTTGGTGCAGGATGCCCTATATCATGTGTTAACGAAATGAAAGTTAAATTCAAGCTTGGTGTAACTTAACACCCATTTCAGACAGGAGAGGAAGGTTTTCTGGACTCCGAAAGTCTATTGCCTAAATGGGATTGTAGGGCTTCTGTAGTTTTAAACAAGCAGTTCTCCATTGCTGGTTCATTGCAGGTTTCTGCATTAGAAATAAAACCAGGAGGTGATTGACATTTCCTAGACTTGATCCTTAGTAGAGCTATGACAAACTACTCAGGGTGAAGCTCTGTTCACTCTGTCCTGCTGTATAGTTTTCAGTGAGGGCAAAGTACGAGAAATGAGATTTTAATGCTTCAAAAAGTGTAATAGTATTTCTGGAAAGTAAAATGTCAGGAGAAGTCCTGGAAAGTGTCTGTTAGCTGGTGTTAGTATTACAAACTCATGGCAAAATTGAGTGTTTTATCACTGAGCTTCTAAGTTATGTTGTTCAGCAAGTGAAAGTAAAATAGGTTATTCTTTTCAGATTAATTACTCATTGAGTTCTGTTTGGAGAATGAGGATTTATTTAAAGCCCCACGATCCTTTGACTCATTCTGTCTTATCTCCTTTGTTTTATGGAAAATCTCACAATATGTAATAGAGATAAAAATAAGTAGGGCTGAAGAAAACAGTCCAATATAATCTTTATGAAAATGGTGTCTTTTTGATGCAATTTCATGGAAAATTTTAACCTAAGTATAATAGTTGAAAGATTATTTCTCAGTTGATGTCCACAAAGCTAAATTTATTTTCTATATACTTTTTTAACATGCTTCTGAAAACGGAACTTGCTGTATTTCTCATTCTGATTATTTCAGAATTTATTATTTTCTTTTTGCATCTGCAAATCTTGGTCCAGCAAACGTTTGGATAGAGAATTTTCGTTTTGAAGGAAGGTTTCTGTAAATAAAAAATCCCAGTGAAAACTGTTTGGAATAAAAAATGTTATATAATAGGAAGTTCATTATTTCTTTTTACCAAAATGAGACGAGTAAAGGAAAGTTATTCTTAATAGAAGTGATTCTGAAGATTTTTCCCCCCGGTTTTCATTTTCAGCTATCATAGAAACAGCAGCCTTCTTCCATGCTCAGCAAAACAGCCAATCAAACAAAACTCTTTGCTCACCCACCAATAAAATGTAAAATATTTAAAATTATTTAAAAAATGACAGTTTTGGAGTTTTGCTGGTGAAGAACCTAAAACCGATGCAGTTGTACCGGCAAAAGAGTCCCTTGTTACAATAGCATATTACATTTGGAATATGGGTAAATTAGAATATTGAAATAATTTTTAGTATTTGCTATAAATATATAGCTATGAATTTACATAAACCCTAGGACATGTAAGTAACTCTGACAGACTAAATGGATATTAGTTGCTGGCTAGTAACACTAGCACAGACACGCAGGAGCAATTTTAAGATTATACTTTGAGCTAATCTTGCTTGCAGGGTCTGTCCTGCAAACTTCAACTGAAACTGTTCTTGCAAAAGTAAGGACTGTTTCTAATAGTTGAAAGGATTTATCCTTGAAATGAAAACAAGTAGATCATTTTCTAATTCTGCTTTGTACCAGCTTGCTTTATCTCAATTATTTGCTGTTAGACAGATTTTTAACCATGAATCAGAAAATACATCAGGACACATTTGAGTAACAGTTAATTTTAATTTTTAAGACTTAGTGTTTAATGAACAAACTAAAATTAATGGTGTAATAAAAACTTAATTTTCAAGTAGCACCCCCTTTTGATGCTGTCAAAATAATATTTTCTGTTCCCTTTGTTGTTTATCCTAGTGGAAATAATTTTTCTTTATTTTACATATAATGCATATTTTACATATAATGCATTTTATTTATACAGAAGCATTTAATTACTGTTTTAAAATAGAACATGTTGGAATATACTTTACTGTGCTTTAGCCATGCATTTATTCAGAGTTATTTAATAAAAAGAATCTGATATACTGATGCGTGAAATAGCTGCTGCTTTTCATGAATTCAATCCCTAGTGTTAGTATAATGTAAATCTTTAGGAACTGCTAAGCACAAAAAAAAAGCCTTACAAATAGGGTGAAATAGAAGAGGGTAACTCCAAAGGCAATTACTAGAGAATTCTGGTAATGATAAATGGTCTTAAAAGTAACTGGAAATACTGTATTTAAAAAAAATATTGAAGTATGAAAATGAAAATACTTGCCCAGTTGCCAATGTTATGTGCAGTGTGTCTGTTTTGCTTGGATAGTGATAGCCAGCAGCCAAGCTTCCGTGTGCTTTGTAAGTAGCCTCTCCTCTTTCACATAATCATGTTCCCACGCAAAGTATTATTTCCATTCAATGTTTATAAAACCAAGTCTTAGGCTTCTTCTCTGGGAAAAAGTCAGCAATGTTTTGACGCAATACATAGTGTCCCAAAACCTAATAAATTACAGTGCCTGCATCTTGGCTCAAGTAATTTGAGGGAAATATGGACTCCATGGTGAAAGGGCAAGTCTTCATTCTTTGTTAAATCATTATTTGGTAGAATTTTCTCCATCTTCTGCTTTGCTGTTTTGCACGTCCTCCACTGGCAAAGACTAATATCCGCTAACTTTTGCTGAGGAAAGACTGAAAACTATGCCAGATGAGAATTTGATGGCAGTGGGATTTGATTCTCCTTTAATGCAGAGATGTGAAGGAATAATAACACTCAGTTTGGCAGAAATGCACTGGAAGGGCAAGATAAGCAGCTCTGTTAAACATGGGAAAGCTGAGAAATGGAGTTCAGTGTACACAGTAGGTGTTAATGTGCTGTTGAGCCTGAGGCCACGGAGGAACAATGCCCTCCGAAACACATGCCTACCTGCTGTGACTTCACCATGCGTATTTGGGCAGAAATGGAGCAATGAACTCTGGAAAAAAATTCTGGTGTATTCTGTACCCTGTTTACAGTCTTATCCAGTGTCTGATACCAATGTCTCTCTTGTGCCGATAGGACAACCCTCCCCAGAGAATGATAATACGATAAAAGACCTGCTGCCAGAGGATGCTGGGATTGATCACCAGACTGTCCACCAGCTCATTACTGTGCTAATGAAGTTCATGGCAAAGGATGAGAGCAGCGCTGAGTCGGACATCAGCAGTGCTAAAGCTTTCAACACAGTCAAGCGCCATCTGTACGTCCTGCTTGGTTATGAT